AATGCCCTCCAACTCCGACTCCTTCTCCACTGCCGGAGCCAAGGAAAAAACAGTGTCATCCCTAGTGTCAGCCCCACCCTTCACCAACCCCAAGGACTTACTCGACCCCCCTGAGAAGGAGAAAAAGCAGAGGGAGAGAAGAAGCAAGGAGGAGGTGCCCCAGAAACGACAGTGGACTTACCCGGATCAAAATCCGACTGCACGGACGCCACCCATTTTTGCTTATCCTTCCGTATCCAACGTTTGCGGAAAGTAGGAAGAAAGATCTTTTTCTTAGGCAAACGTCTTCGCTGCACCAGATCCCTTGATCGCCGATCTTCCTTGATTCTTCCACCATCCATCCTCAAACAGCTAACGGGCCTTCCAATAACCGGATGCCTCTCAACAGACCACCAGAAGAAGTGCAACCCTCACAAACAACTAAAGCCCCATTCCCCGGCCCAATGCCAGGCCCATCATCGCGTGTGGGCTTCGAATTCTTACCAACCCAAGAAAGTGAAGAATCAAACTTACCAGAATTTGAAAAGTTTGTGGATACAGCTGTTTTCCACTGTGAACGGGTAACTCCTGGGAGCCAACCATGTGGTTGGTCAGCATTTCTTCCCCTCCCACTCCCACGCGCTTGCTGCGCGTGAACACCACCATGAAACCCTTTCTGATCCCACCGCTTCAAAAATGGCCGCCGACCAATCCTAGTGGAGCCTCCATTCCACTGCATCTGCCGGAGACCTTCTTGCCGACGACAATTCAACCAAGACGACAGCCCATCCCTACGTTTTTGAACAAAAAGCCTTCTAAAACATTCCTTATTACGGATCCACAGCGCATCTCTCCAAATCTTCCATCTCTGGAACTCTGCCATCCCCTTCTTCCCCATGGATTCCCACCTCAACCATTCTTTTTCCTTTAGCAGATGCGAACCATCACCTCCTTCCAAGCTATACGTCGTCGGAACAAGCTCTGGGTGCTTCTCCTCCCAAACTACCACCTTATAACAGTACCGATCGTCACGAATGAAAACAAAAGGTGGACAAACCCTTCCATCAGACACTGTAATACGAACTCTTTCTGCATCAATGGCCTCATTGGCATCCACCCAAATAAACCTGCCACATAAATCGCCAACCGTCACAAATAGAGCATGGCTCCACAGGTGAAGGGGAAGACCATAAATCGTCACCTTCTTCAACCACTTCTCTTTCAAGACCTCCGAACACCCCACCCTAAAGCTCCAAGCATCCACACAAAGAGTTGCCTTCCCCCAGTCTCGTCGACCCTCTTTAAGGACACGAGTTGCTTCGGCCGTAAAGGGAAGCCGAAACAAAAGAAGCGAGTCCGGCAGCGGCGAAACCGATACACCAGAGGATACCTTCCAAGCTCTCGAAGCCCACGCCATAATTTGAGCCCCATCACCCACTTCCTTATCAAAGTTACCCACTAAACACGACCTAAGGTCTTCTTTTCTCCTTCCAACCGAGTCGTCATCCAAAAAAATCGATGGTCCCCTATACGGATTTGCAGATCTCGCAACACCACCTTGAAACAATCGAGGCAATCTGGCAACCTCCAAGAACGAGCGCATGATAAAGATGAAACGAACACAGACAAGCACACTCCAGAAACAACAAACAACTCAATCAAAAGAAAACAGAAGAAAAGTGGCAAAAGATTTCACCGGAGTTTGTGACTCCGGAGACTGGTCGGAGTAGAAGACTCCTACCGCATCCCTACCACCAGCTCATGACACGACATTACTATTCATTGCTAGGTATCTGACCTATATTTATTACAATATATGTTCATACTTTGGCATATGATGAACTATTGAGCATATAACTGAAAAAATGTAGTAATATCAACAGCTGTGTAAGTAAAATATTGATATCTTGTTCCTTTTCAAATCTCTTTTTCTCAAATTGGTAGCTTGATCTTTCCTTGTCCTTCAACCTTTGTTGTAGAAGAGTTCCCCATGTAGAGTTGTTCTTCATTATCTATAGCTTCATAGGTAGTGAACATCATCTTTTCTGAGCACCATTCTCTATTGTTGCTCACAAGGTTAATTTCAGAAACCACAGCTGAAAGATTTAGCTCTGACACATCAGCTATCAACTTATCTTCCTCGGCAATGTGCACCTCAGTGGTCTTTTTCTTGGGGTTATGTTGTGCTTTGCGACTACAACAGTCTTTAGATCGGTGTCCTAGCTTGCCGCATATGAAGCACTTCCCAGTGAACCTCTTGTAGTTTCCTTGGCTGGGACCTTCTTCAAAGTACTTCCTCTTCTTATTCTTCTATCCAGCTTCAACTACATTCGCCTTTGACACCATTGAAGAATTCCCGGTTTTCTTTTCAGATGTACGGCTATCTTTTTCAATTCTTAGCCTGACGATCAGGTCTTCGATCCCCATTTCCTTGCGCTTATGCTTCAAGTAGTTTTTGAAATCTTTCCAGGTAGGTGGCAGCTTTTCATTGATTGAAGCTACTTGAAAGGATTCACTCAAAGTCATCTTCTCAGCATGTATCTCATATAGGATCAGCTGGAGCTCCTGCACTTGGCTCATGACTATCTTGGAGTCTATCATTTTGAAGTCCAGAAATCGTCCGACCACAAACTTCTTCAAGCCAACATCCTCTGTTTTATACTTCTTGTCTAGTGACTCCCAGAGCTCTTTAGCAATATTTATTGGACTGTACACATTATATAAAGTATTGTCCAATCCATTGAGGATATAGTTCTTGCATAGGAAGTCTCCATGCTTCCATGTATCAACAGCTCCTAGCTTGGTAATGTTAGTCTCTCCCTTATCTAGCACTGGGGAAGTCTCAATTAAGTACTTGCTTAGATTTAAAGTTGAAAGTAGAACATCATTTTCTGTTGCCACCTTTTAAACTCCACCCCATTAAATTTTTCGGGCTTCTCCCCATAACTGACGGGAACATTAGGCATAGTAGTACTTGTACTTGCCATTCATCTGATTTATATTAAATATACAGACCACAGTCAAATTTACAGAAATAAAATAACAACAATATTTAAATAATTAAACTATAGTATAAGCAGAATCTATCTTAAGATTATTGTCCAAAATATGTGGTTTATATACCATATACTATAGTATTATTTATTTAAATATAATGTAAAATTATAATGATTATATATGTATAATTATTATTATAAAATAACTATATATATATATATATATATATATATATATAATTTCTTATATTATATAGTTTAATATAATAAAATAAAACTATAAGATAAAAGAACCTGATTAGAAGTCGAGGCTATAATTTGATTCTATGTCCTTAAGACAGATTCGCCCCGCTATGGTGCTAACGGACTCAGTGGCGTCTATCTCCCAGGATACAATGACTTTTACTTTCTTCGGTAATAGCATTGCAAACCAAAGGAATAGGCGAACCGGCTCAGTGTAGTACTCTCTGACTCGAACCCCCTGACCAAGGCTCGAACCCAAAGACTATGGCTCGAACCCACAGACAATTATAGAAGAAGGAGAGAATTCAGAAGTAGGAGAAATATTCTGAATTGGAGTGCTTTGGAATGAACCCAAGGGGGGGGTTTATATAGGCCTCATGGTGCCTTTTCGGATGGCCTGAACCATCACTTGCATGGGTTGTGATGGTTCAGGTTAGGTGGTTAAAAAACTGAATGCATTGGTTCAGTTTAAAGAGAATGGGTGCAACCTTTTTTTGAAAAACCCATTAAGCAGGCCCAATTTCGCCCATCTAAATAAGCCCAGCAAAAATAAAATTAAAAACCAATCACACAAGCCTAATTTCATTTAATAAAAAAATTAAATATATATCACAATCAAGCTCGGACCGGGTCGAGCGGGCAGCGCGCGCGTATGTGGTAGTTGGTTCGGACACAAGCTTGCCTAGGTCCTCCCCCTCTTAAAAACTTGGGTGCCTTTAGGCCCAAACCCAAATCCCATACTAGGCTTATTTATACTTCAAATGGTTTTAATATTTTTCCGATGTGGGACAAGCATTTCCCACGTATTGCAAACCCATTTAGGCATATCAAACACCTCACTTTGAAGCTAATTTCTCATTCACCCGGAAATGGATTTGAAAAAGTAAATATACCAAGTTCATCTCCTTGCGGAGAGGAACGCACTCGTCTATAGATCCGCAAAAAATTCTTAGCGGAATCTATTCAAAATCTCATCCAAAGTTTATGTTTTTAATTACCCCGTTTCCAACACCTCCATCCAGCAATCCATGTCTCCCTCTCACATACACGACACCCACAAACATAGTATCCACTTGCAATTTGTTATCCTAGTTGTTATTAAAAGGCCGCCCCCCCTGACATAATTTCCTGGGTCCATCACTGCTTATTATTATCATAGAACTTTATGGTTTTAAAATAAAAAATAAAAAAAAGGCTTTATACTTGTCTAATATAATCATAGACGTATATAAATAAAATTTAATATTTACATATAACCGTACCCACTATTTTGTTTATGCATCTTTGTCCTCTCTTTGGATAAGCCCGTGAAGATGTCCAAAAGATTTTTATATATATATAGAGGGGGGGGGACTCAAATGATGCTTTTATACTACTTTACTTTGATGAAAAAACTAAACAGCTCAGATGTCCAGAATTGAAGAGCATAAACTATTAAAACCCCATAATTTTAATGTGAGTTTAAACATGTAAAAATATGTTTCTAAACTATGCAGTTTAGACTAAACTCCGTGTTAGTTGGCCTCCTTCGACCCAACTCCAAACCCTTTGCCTGGCCACGGAAAGATTCAGACTTCAAACTATTAATTTTAAATAAAAAATAGACAAGCGAACAACTCTCAGGAGTCAATAATAACATGAAACAAAGCACAAAGGGGTTGGTGGGAACATAAAGGAACATGCTTTGGGTCAAGGCATACGTCAAAGAAAAAGAATAGCAGTAAATAGTAAAGACATACACTTCACAGTTTTCAATATAATGTAATGATTGGATTCACATACCGTCTCCCCTTCATTTAGAAAGAGCTTAGCAATTTCAATGCCAGCCTGAAAACAAAATTGTACAGCCAAATTCACAAAATTGAAAAACTCAACATTGACAAAGTCTACGAAGAGTATGCATATATATATATATATAGAGAGAGAGAGAGTATAGATTCTCATATATATATGGAGCGAAATCAGCTACCTAGTATAATAAATATTTTTCCTTAATGTATTTTTCAAGGGTAAGTCATATACGGTTAACACGTAAATTTATGCATAGTATCCATGTTAAAAGGATAACCAGGTAGAATTTCACAAGGGGAATCAAATTGGTGTCAGAGTAAAAACCTGAAATAAAATCTAAACACAAGCCAATACATGAAATAGGGACTTAGGACAAATAAGACGAATGCTATATCTTCCATAATAGGATCGCATACAGATTCGTAGATGATGATGATATTACATCAGGTTCTATTATATAATTGAGAAAGTTATGGTCTATACTACAATAGAAATTATTCATTTAAGAAGAGCATGTGAGACTATTCACCAAAAACAAAGAGGCAATGTAAAGATGACCTGCTAGATTTTTCTAAAAATTGCTGAAATTGGGTGAAACCATGTACACAGCATATATGGACAAAAGAAAGTAACAAAAGGGAATAAGGAGCAGCATCTACAATGGATGTTTATCTTTACAAGGCTCAAAAGCTAACAATTGGCCATTTCTATCACAATGAATAAAGTGAACTCCAGAAGCAGATGGAATAATTAAATCAAACTTATACACCAATAAAAATAGAATGTAGGCCAGATCAAGCAAAAAACCTGTACAAGTCCACCGAGATTATCTCTGAGATCAAGAACAAAGAATGAGGCTCCCAATTCTTGAAGTCGCTTCATTGCTACAAACATTTTTTTTTTATTACCAATTCAACCATAAAAGCAAGAGAGAAACATAGCTAGTATTACATATATGTATATGTAGAGAGAGAGAGAGAGAGTTTCCAACATGAGAGCAAAATTATCATTTGTTGCAAAAAATCAAAAAGACCAGCTAACCAAATGTGATCTTGTAGAATAAAATGTCTAACATACAACAAAGTTCACAGAGGAGGTAGCACCCACCACCCAATAACTACAGGCATTAATGTTAACATTTTTGCAAAAAAAAAAAAAAAGATACAGCTGCTGACATATGTGGAAGACAAGTATTTAATGATGTCCGTAAGCAGTATCTAATCTGTTTCATGTTTCCACAACTATAGAAGAAGCTTTTCTTTCTTTTATTCATAAATTTTCTGGTAAGGAGAAAAAAGGGTAAATTTGTGGAGAATCCCAACTGTGATTTTGGTAGTTTAAGCACATCCAGGTGCTCTCTTACATTATTGAGATGAATCTGAGACTAAAAACAAGTTTTCAAACTTAACTCGTATGAAAAGCCAGAAAAGACTGGATCATGCTCAAATTTATATGTGGTATTACCTCTCATCTAAAACTCTTCTTTTTCACTTACCATTTGATGAGTTATCCTACTTAAAATATAAATTGAATTCCTTTAGAACTCCTTTTCCCAGAGTTGCAGTGGCAATTAGGCAGCATCCCAATGTATCAAATGTAGGTTTGGAGCCTCTCAAGTGAGCTATGTTCAGGGAACTATTCATATCTGACTATAATAGCATAAATGAAATTGGTTGCGCCACCACAGTTTCTAGTTAGATCAACTACGTGAATCTTTTTAGCCGAATTTATATGAACTTTAAACCAACCGAGTTGACCTCAAATGATTTTATACCAACCAAAGTATAAGAAATTGAAGTGATTCAAACCATGTCAAAAAATAAGACAAGTGAGAAGGCGATGATGTCTCTTATCACATGCTCTTTTTGGAGGCCTATAAGTGGTTTTGTTTGGGGTGGAGGGAGAGAAGAAATAACCTAACCCCATCAGTTGAGAAGAAAGAAAGCCAAATAATACCTCTGACAGCATAAGTTGGGGGAAAGAAAGAAAGAAACCTTCCCATGGACATTCCTTCATCAGAGAAGACATACCCTTTCTTAAGGCCTATTACTAACGATTTAGGTTCCACACTAATCTAGAAGTTTACTTTATTTTGAGAGAGAGAATCCACAGGTAGTTTTTTATTTCAATGTTGAGTATCTGCTGAACTTTATTTATTGGGTAGTTTTCAGCCATCTAGTAATTTTAATGTTGACCTATCTGCAGAATTTTATTTATTAGTAACATTTTATATTTTGGAGTATTATAATTTTAAGTTACTATATGGATTCGGTAACAAATTACTTTAACAATTATGTATTATACCTTCTTTTGGGAAAGTAACAGTAATGTATCATATCACTAAACAGAAATTGTAGCAATACTAGTCATGCTTTAATAGCAGACTAGGAATAAACTAGTGAAGTTGTTATTGTCTTTCTGACCTTCTTCAATTTAAATATTAGTTAGGTGCTGAGATTGGTTTGAATTATTGTTTGTTATTAATTGTTCTTAGGGTTAAAGTTTAGGAAAGGAGTTGTAATTGTAAATATTGAATTCAAGTGCTGCAATCTTGGTTACCTCTACTCCCATTATTTCTCTACAATGAAGAAAGTTGTCGTCTTTATATTCATACCGCACTTTCAACAATAAAGAACATTTGCATGGGGCCATGGACCTTACTTCTCTTTCCAAACCCCTATTCTACCAATTTTTGACCATTTATATTCTATTTTACAGAAATGATAACCCTAATCTTCATTGAAGTGCAGGAATTTCCAAATGTCTCGCATCAAACACCTACTTGTTTTCCAACACAAGAAGATGTGTTAGTGGCTTTTTGATGATTTAGGTGAATGTTAACGACTCAATGTATAGAGAATAATTTAGAAGTAGAAATTTAGGGGAAAAAACATTTTCTGGAGATATCACCACTAGGACACTGGTTCAGGCAATTCTGACAGAGTGATAGGAGAGTGTATACTTTTCTTAAGTCTTAAAGGATAAATAAAGTGATGGAACACCATCTCTTTCATGCATACCATTGAGTTCAACTAATGTTTAGAAACTGGAATCTACATAAACAGAATAAGCATTCACGGTCTGAAACGTTAGATATTATCATGAATTAAGCACAATAATTCTAAACGAGGTGAACATGTACCAGTAGCCAAATCTTTTCTAGCCAATGCATTGAACTCTTTTAGGCGAACATAACCAACAGAAGTTGCACCACTGTCCATTTGTTCCAACCGATAAAAGACAGGGCTCCGAGCGACAAGCTGCCTCTGAACTTCAATAGATTCTACAGGCCCACAGTTTCCATGCTTGACCTAAAAAGCCATCAATGAGTATTATGAACCAATACTGAGAATGTATTGAAAAAATAATTAACATGACAACGCTCCATATTTGTGAATGATCTGAAATCACAACCTTCATGGTCACGAATGTTTCATTGGGGCCTTGTAATAGAGAAGAGACTTCAAAGGCAGATTTCCCCCTCACATCCACTCCATTAACAGATAAGACTTCATCTCCCTACCAGAAGAAGACAACAAGCAAGAAAACATATTACAACATTTCATAAACCCAATCACATTAGATAATAGAATATGTAAATATCTATGATTCTGGATAAACACACACACACACACACATAAAAAAGAAGGAATACAATTGATACAGATGAAAGACGAAATCATTAGAATTCAGGTCACATATATTACCATTATTTCTGGGACAAAAAAGGAACTTGCATAGTGGTAATGCATATTACTTAGGACCACCATCTAGTCATGTCAAACTTAATATTGCGAAAAATCTTCAACCATGTTGACCAAATAGTTGGGATTATTGGCTTTCTGAATCTGAATTTGCACACATGTTCTTGTTTATGCGTGCGCATGAAAGAGTTTGTTTGTGTGTTGAAAATACCATGCCACACTATGTTCCATGTTTGACCTTGTAGTCTACATCCACTTGATCAAAGTGATAGAAAGATCAAAATATGAAAACAACGGCTTAGAATACAAGGGAAAAACTAAATTAGCAAACACGTCCAGAAAAGTCATGATGTTGCGATATTGCTCCCACAAAGGCCTGAATCCTGACACTATCTTCACATCAGCACAGTGTTTGATTGAACTGAAACATGTCTTCCAACGACTGTAAATTAAATTTATAGGAACATTGAATTGCTCTCAACTAGGTTTACCAGGAATGGGCTAAACTGTTAAAGCAACAAAATTGTAAGTCTTTTGAGGTGAAGGGGCAGTAACTGCATGAGAAGTTGGCAAAATAACAATGTTACCATCATCTACAGAATACAATACACAAAGCCTGTTATCCATCTCTAAGATAGCAAACAAGATAGTAGCTATTTTCCAAAGGCAAGATTGCAGACCAGACCCTCCACTTGTTCCTAGTTTTTTGTAAAAAAATAAAAATAAAAAATAAATAAATATAGATGTGTGTATATATATATATATATATATAGCAATCCAGGAAGACATGTTCGTGCTAAACCTCCGAAATAGTAAAGATGATCTTAGTACCTCACTTCATTATGATCCATTGGTGGCAAATTCTGAATCACTATTTTCTTGATCATATTTCTAGATATGCCACCACTGGAAATATGACTCAAGCCATGGTATAAGAGGTGCTATGTGACATGTACTTATGCCATGAAATTTGATCATGTCTGTCCTGAGATCCAACCAGAACCAAAATCAAGAAAGTTGGATTTTGGTTAAACCAATTATCTATCCAAATAACCCCATTTACCATGTTAGGCTTCTTTGGATTATGTGGGCCTGGTATAGATCATGGGCATATGATCCAACTCAGGTTAGGATCTAGATACAGATCTTAACATTAACTCATGGATCTGGACTCATAATTTACATGGATCCATTCCATTCCATGCCCTAAATGTCCTATCAGACAGGTTGCCACTGTCTTGGTTCGTAGCAGTTCGATTTGGATGGACTGTAGGACCCCAATATAGTGGCCCAACTCAGTGCAAAACATCAATACTGGTCACTACGATTCACTTTAAGCCAATAACTTTAACCATGGATAGAAAACTGCCTTGAGAATAATGAAAATCACCAAAAAATACTTTAGTGAGTGCAACATAAGATAAGTCATCTCCAAAAGAATATATATAATTGATGAATATTCCAAATTCAGGTTCTTATTGCTGCTTTATAGCTCTGTTCAGTTTATTTAATAGGTGTATTCAATTTGGTCTCTCTTTTGTTTGAAAATTGGTCCTTTCTTTACCCCACTTTAGGCTATTTTTGTTAGGTTTTTCTCAGTGTCTTCACAAAATTGTATTCTGTTGTGGGGTTGCCTTAGTTTGCCCTCGTTCTGCTGTTTTCTTTCACTAATTAACAAAAATAAATAAATAAAGATTCCTAAAGTGGCCTTCACAGGCTATGGTTGTAGACACAAAACACCAGATGAACTAAAAGAAAATAACAAGACAGCCTATTAGCCATCCCAAGAAAACACATATCAACAGTCATACTTAAAGCACGGAAATATTTGTAGCATTACATCAACTTGTGGCTAAATAGAAACATTTAGCTTAGCACAGAGATAGGGATAAAGCATAACGAACATTAGCATTTGCATCTGAGTTTTGACTTCATCTACCTGTCTCACACCCGCAGTATGGGCAGGGCCATCCAATATTAGCCCTAAAACCTTTAGTTTCACAGCTCCATTGTCATCTGGAATTTCCCTGAGGTTTATTCCAATTCCAGTCATGTCATACCTCGCCATCCTGGAGAACTTTCAATAGTGATAAAAGTAACATATGCTGAATAAGAACACTGCAAAGTCTATTAAGTAAAAACAACATGTTGATATAAGGGATCAAAGTCAGGTGCAAAAGAAGAGTTCAGGAGTGATCTAGCATCAGCAAACTGTCACTATTCTAAAAGCAAATCACTAGCCTATATCGTAATGTTTAATGGATCGCATGAACAACAAGGGGAAGAGAACTACTGTAAACTGTGAGGAATAACTATCGTCTTTCTAAATTGTGGTACGGTGCGTCCCGCTAGTCACCTTTTTAAGAGCACAATTCTTTTTCTTTTCCCGATGAAATAACAAAACTCCAGAGGTTAAAGCCCATTTAAACAGTACATGCAAGGTTTTTACACCCAAAAAAAAAGAAGGCAAAGCAAAAAAGATAAAAAATCTAAGAAATGAGATGCGCCTCTTTGTCCCTACGAAGCAACCAGAGAGAAAGTATATCTCGATAAGACCAAATTCATCTTAGACCTTAGACTTGCACTTTTCATAATCATCAAAACTAGCCTTACACCAACAACAACAAAATAATTTATAAAAACATATGAGAGTCGTTAAAAAAATGAAAGATAAAACATATCAGACTCCACTCCAATGTTCCCTTTTCTTTTTTCCTAAACCTGACTGTAATCCTCCGACAAAAGAAATGTAGCTACTTGGAATTCTGCATGTTCCTCTCCCGCGATGCAGGACCAGCAACAGAGGAATGTTTAGTTGTATTAAGGAGTATTTCACTGAAGGTCTGGCCGTTATTTAAAAGGCTTGTACTACCCCAAGTAATAGAACTAGAGGAATAAAAGTTGTCAATAAGAAACAAACAAGTTTTTGAAATGTTAATTTTGAAAACAAAAATGACGTAAAATAGGAAAAAAAATACAGATTCTCCCACAGGACAAAGAAAACCACTTGGCTTCAAGTGCAGAATAGGGAACAGCTTATAAGGACAGATAGCTATGAAATTCTTCCATTTTTAAACATGCAATTCAATGGTTGCCTTAATATGAAATTTGGAAATTTTTTATATCAGAACAAGCATTTGCAAACAAGTTGGCTATATTTGACTTTACATGAAGCAAAAAATTACAAAAATGCACGGGAAAAAAAAAAAAAAAAAAGGGAAACGAAAGAATAAAAAATTGAAGACTAATTACCTCCGGCGGAGAAAGAAAACGTGTGTAAGGGTCACCCAAGCTTGCCAACATCCGCCGGATAATATCATGAGCTTTTGATCTTGTCTGAATGGACGTGCCTAAAATATCTTCTTTCTTTTGCTGGAAGTAGAGAAGGCAAATATACCATAAATAGTCCAGTATTGGGCAACCCGAAAGTGCCAGACAATGAGAACTGACAAACAAGAACTTGAAATTAATAACAAGATGGCAATGCCTATATGTGAAATGACAACCAAAGAGAATAAAAGATAGTAATGCAGGTTTAAACTTTAAACTTGTATTGTTCGGTATAAAAAGGGCAAACCCACTGTACTGAGGCTCCCGCCATTGTAGGGTCTGGGGAGGGTCAGACGTAGGCAGCAATATCTCTGCATGCAGAAAGGTTGTTTCCTTGTTTTGAACCCGGGACCTCCAGGTCACAATGGAACAACTTTACTGTTGCACCAAGGCTCGCCCTCATACTGTTAGTTATATATAATTTTAATCAATAGCGGTGTTTAAACCTTGGCTTCCCCTCCAAATATACACTATATCTGACTGAAAGGCAACCCAAGGGGGTAGCAACAAGGCTCTAACCTCACATCTTGGAGTTAGGGAGTTTCAAATCCTTTTGGGACCACTCCTAGGGAATTTTCCAGTAAGTTCGCGGTGCATGTGGATCAGGGGGTCTTTATATGTGTGGTGGTGAACTATGGGATGCTATAAGAGGCCCAACACCACCATCATCGACAACAACAAAAAATGACAAAGAGGCGGTAAAAAATTCACATAAGTTATATTATTTTCTGATTTGTCTAAAGTTACCGTACTAACATCAACACTTCTTGACAAACATGGTAAAAAGAAATTGAAAGTGAATCTGTGAGACAACTAGATTAATAAGAAGAAGAAGATTATCAAAAATTCATGCTGAAGAGATCATGAAACCATAAAAGTGAGATTACAAAAGATAATATGATGATGATGATGAAAGAAAATATATATATATATATGGCAAGATTGCTTCATTTGATCTATATCACATCAACGATCACTTATAATTTTTTTTTTTTTTCCTAAGCACTTATAATATTTAATTAGTTATCCAAGTAGATGTTTTATCCCCGCGTCTTTTGGGAAAACCTAAAGAATTAACAGACCAAGTCACCAAGCAAACAGAATCTGGAAACATCCTCCACAATACCAAGTGAAATTAGTTACTGGTCTATGCCAACCAAAATTTTGCCTTTCCCAGACTTCACATGTTTGGTGCAATTTACTAAACAAATAACAGCAAACATAATACAATGTCAACCTAGGTACTTCGACATTAACCACCATGAAGGATATCCTAACATCTTCTTCTTTAATGGAGAGAGAACATATTTCAACATACCCATTCCCCAGGCATCTAAGGTAACCCATAGACTGCCACAACTTATTCCCTGGACAATTATTGGAACATAAGAATCACAAATAAATATGTTTACTGCTTTAAAGCTTCTAAAAAATGAACATGATAAACAAAATGACCATAAATCAAAACCCACATATTCAGGATAATGGATACATGGAGTAAACCAGAGCCAAAAGTCCTAGAGTGAACCAATTCTGAGCAAGAAAGGGAAGGAACAAAAAAAAAAGGGTCATTCAACATTGGCTGGAATAATTAATCAAAACAAAAACCTCAAGCATGCAAAATGGCCAGCTTCGGTTCAATTCATCGTTCATAACATCAGGTTCAAGGGATAAAAAAGTATGATATATATATATATATATATATATATATATATATATATATATATAACATGTGTAATTACACAAAAGGAGGATGAGAGAGGTTGTCACCAGCCATATCTCAGGGGACCATCGATGGCGACCGGTGTCGAGAAAGCTGTCATTGACAATCTCCCAAGCTTCCTCCACAATCTCTTCATTCGTCACCAATTCAGGAGCTTTCTCATACCTCTCTTCTCTAATCTCCTCTTCGCGACAATACTCCGTCGTCGTTGAAGAAGATGAGCTCTGGATAGACGAGGGAGACTCGAACGCTATGGAAGAATTAGGCGAAGAAATGAGGAGCCCAAAGGAGATAGTCCCAGCAATAGAACCAATTAGGGTTTTCTGAGGCCAATTGAGAGTGTTGGTAACTGTATATTTGTGGTGAGGGACTGTGGTTGGTGGTGCATGAAATTGAGTTGAGGAGTTGCAGAGGAAACTTTTCATCCTCTCTCCAGTGTCCTCCACTCCTCCCAGTGTACTTGGCTGTTCCTCACATAGTGTGTACGTGATAGACTAAGAATGTGTTTGGATTGTAGAGTTGCGTGGACATGAAATGAAATTGAGGGAATTTCATGGCTTAAAAACGGTGTTTGGATAACTAGGAGGGAAAATAGAAAAAATGAATCTTTTTCTGATAATACTCCAACAAACTTATGTTTATATAGCCGCTAACAATCCACTAATCTAGTTTAACCTCTTCTTGGGGCAATGATCCTCTGGAGATACAGAAATTGCTATGAGGTGAGTTGGTATTTATTTGAATGGGTTAATGCTTAGTAATAAAAAATAAAAATAAAAATAAAATTTAGACTAAGCTAAAATTAGTTATAGTAAATTTTTTTTTTTGGACTTAGCCCACCTAAACATACAACATAGATCCGCCCTTGGATCCTCTTCTATAATTAAAGTAATCCTAAGGTTAATCTCATGGAGCACGGATCATCTTATGTTTAATTGTTATCAACACGATTATATTTTATCAATGCAAACAAATTTTTAAAATTATATTTTATCATATAATATGTTGCACAAGTGCTACGTCTTGATATGAATATGCCATGTAATTTTTAAAAATCGTTCTATTTTGTGATACAAGTGTTTTGCACTTTGATATAATTGTGTATCGTGCACGTAAACTCCTAAACGGAAAAAAGAGGTAGTTGTCATAGTAATTTATTTGTATCTATTTTATCACGTCTTATTTATATATTTGGCTTTTAAAATATGAAAATATCTAGTGACAAATTTATTAAAATAGTTTTATTTCTTCTTCATCTTCTTTTTTCCAAGCATGATTACATTTAATATTATATATATTATCATAACTAAATTTTTTATCTTCTTTGTACATCGAACATAACATAGGATGCTTAGTAGTGAAAAAGTAAAAATAAAAATCCCCTCGCAAAATAGGGGGAGGTGACTTGAATATAGATACACCCATTTGAAAAATTAGGTACTCTATCAACTAGACTATTAAATAACGCCCATAATGACCAATGAGTTATGACTTATTAGAATCTCCTATAAGAATCTGATTGGGTGGCATATAGAATTCATAGTTTTATTTTTATTTGGTATTTCATATCAAATTCAAAGTATTTATGCATATTGCATGCTTATGTGAAAGTATTGTTTTATTTTATGGTTAATTGCACTGACAATCCCTGAAAATTTGGTCAATGTCACTTAGATGCAAGTCAAAGTTTTTTTTTTTTTTTTTGCAGTCACACCCCTTGGGGTTTTAAAATCTTGCATCCACACCCCCTTTCCCCCTTTCGACCTAAAAAAAATACTTACTTAAATACCTTTTAATTAATCACCAATTACTTTTGATCGTGAAATTACCTGAATGCCCATTTTCTAACTATTTTTAATGGACCAAATTGATCCATTATTTTACCATTTCATGCCATCATCCATAATCCAAGGTTATTAAAATCGAGATTTTACATAGAATCATTTTGGTTTTGGTAGAATCGGACTTGTGGAATTGGATCGTGAATCGTAAAATTCTACCAAATTGTGAAAAAACAATTAAAACTAACTTCTTAAACAATAAGATGTGTAAAAAATAACAAAAATAAGGCCAAAACATACAACTAAATATATCTAACCTCAACATAGCCTATCAAGGAATAAAATTTGACATTTAAGAAATATTTTTTTGCCCCGTGAATAAGTAAAACGACTTCCTCCAAATTATTTTACCCTCTCCAAAATTGTGCACAATTAAAATTACACTTAAAAAAATTATATAGATGAATAAAAAATAAAAAACCTCGTTCACATTTCTATTATGAAGCATTTTATTATTAGGGGAGCAAAAAATACATAGATAAAAAATAAAATAAAAAACCTCAAAAAAGGTTGAATTGGGACTGCATTGACTACTTTTCAATGGCAATTAAATGATTGATAGCACGTATGTAATAATTTCATTCCATAAATCATTATTTAACTCCAAGCTTTAATTAAATTAAATTTTAAATTTAAGAAAAAAAATTAAATTTTAATTATGAGTCATAATATTCATTAAATAGATCTATTTGTCAAAGTGAATCTATTATTCTTTTCCTCAAACTTTGAGTGGATGTGTTGCAAATGGAATCCGATTTGAAGTTGAATAGAATAAATTAGTAACTTCAGTTAATTGTTTGCATATTAGTGTATTATTTATATATTATATATATATATATATATATAAACAATAGGTGACCTATGGCACTTGAGAATTGAGACCTAAGTAATAGTAACAAAAAAGGAAAAAGGGGAAAAAAAAAATGTAGAACAAAATAAAATAAGGTAGCGATAAGAAGCAATTTTATATATTGAAAAAAAAAAAAAAATTTACTTGCTATTTTTTCAGTGAAGAAAGATGCTTAGCTAAAAAAGGAAAAGTAATAAAATAATATATTGTATTAAAATAATTATGGATCCGATTGCTTTCTCTGAGCCTCTGCACTACCGCCTCCTCCCCTGTGACTTCCCGTTTCTAAATTTTTGTAATAGAAATAAACTAATAACAATGAGGGTTTTGTATTTTACAATTTATAGCTTTCTATACAATATTTGGGCCAAGCCTGGCCCAAACAAGTTGAACAACTAATAGAATAAAGGTCCAAAGACCAAATACTATAAAGACCCGCCCAAAATACCCATTTTGGTAAAATCGGCATAATGTACGATTTTACACGATTCTGCCTATTCTACCCCCAATTATACCAATTGAGGGATTTTGCTTCGATTTAATTTGATTTTGAATTATGAGTCGTAGAATTGTGCGATTCTATAACTTAGAATCGCAATTTTGATAACCGTGCCATAATCAGTATCAAACTTGGCTCGACTTTGCCTTCCCACCAGTTCTATTGCATTCGATTAAGACCGTCATAGGTGGAGATGATGGTGGTAAAAAAGGCGAGGGATAGATATGTGTGTGCGTGCGCGCGCGCGCGTATGGGGTTTGAGATGTAATGTATGTATGTGTATATGAATATGTTGGGTTTGATTTGAGGTTCCTCGTGGTGGGGGTGGCGGCAGACTCGGATCTTGGCCTCTGTAGTGGCGAAGCTGTAAATGCTCAACGGTAGCGACTTTGGTGGTGGTGCCTCCGCAACCTGTTGATGGTTCTCAATTGCTAGGGATTTCTGGTTCTCAGTTGATGGTCTGAACCCATAATGGTTCCATTGGACGCATCAAATTGGGTAGGGAATTTCGACGCATTGAATAGGTTGATGGGTGTGATACCACTCTCGCCGGATAAGAGCTTGCCATAGTAGGCACGAACGTCAATCACGTCGTTAAAAACAGACACAATTATTGAGATTTTTCTCACGCTTGGGGCAGGAGGATGCGATGGTGTTGGGTTGGCCATGGCTATTTCTATATTTTTTCTGGTGGCTGTGGTGGTGGTGTTTAGGGTTTTTTATATATATTTTTTCTTTTCCATTGAGGTGGTGTTTGGTTTTTATTTTTATATTTATTTTTTATTATTATTATTTTTTTGGTAATAGTAGTGTCTGATTATGGCGGTGGTGATGGTAATGTCTGATTGTGGTGGGGTTGTGATGGTGTTTTGGGCTGTTTTGGTTTTTTATTTTATTTTTATATTGTGACGGTGGTTATAGTGGTGTTTGGGAATGATAAAGGGAGGGATTACAGAAGGGGAGACATATGCAAATAGGAATTTGATGAGGGGTAGTTTAGCCATTTAACATGCTTGATATTTTTTGAACTAATTAAATAAAATATTAAGGGACAAATATGTCATTTAAAATTTTAAAGAGGTGTCATTGTCTAAAATCACATTGATCAACAACTGATAAGGAAAATCAATCAAACCTTGAATTTTCATTTAAACTCTAATAACATTTCGCATTTTTATTATACAAAATGGAAAATATGTTAAAGTGATGCATAACTCCTCGTGGTTATTTTGGCACTTATACTACGGTGTTTTTATTTATTTATTTTATTTTTTAACAGTCAAAAATGTATCATGTACAATATATATACACACACATTCTTATTTATAATAATTTGTGCACAATACCTCTAAACTATCACATTTTATTGAAAAATATCCCCATAGGCATATTTTTCATCAAAAAACCACAATGCCATTTTATATTGAATTGCGCTTAATTCATTTTTCTTATTTTAAATAAATTATGAAAACAAAATCATACCAGGTTGATGACATATTCTTCATTAAATTTGTATAAAATTTACCTTTAATTTTTTAAATTAATTGTTTGAATAAAATATTAAGCATAAAATTTCAAAACAATTCAAACATTTTCATGAATATATTACATGAAAGAGAAAGTATTTTTATTTTTATTTATTTAAGTAGTTTATTAATTTTCATGAATCTATTTTATGAAAAAGGTTTTTTTTTTTTTACGATAAAGAAGTTTAAACTAAGTATAATAATTTTATCATAAATAATAAAATTTTAGTAGTAAGTTAATCATTTTAGAAACCGGTAATCACAACTCTATTTTTTCCACATTTTTATGGTAAATTTATACTAATAATAAAATAAAGGAAAATGGTATAATTAATACTTAAATAAGAACAAATATAATAAAATGATTTAATAGGAAATAAAAAATTTATTGAGAAAGGATAAAATAGTCTTTAGTGATGAGTTTGTTCTCAATGTTAACATATCATTAGTTTAGGATACAATTTATAGTTCGGAGCTTATTTGTAAAATGACAATAATTCATGTTTCATAGTTTTTTTTTGCACTTTACCCTAATATTAAATAACATCAATCTTAAATTAGTGTCTCAAATTGAATAGTTACTAAATGGTGCGAGATGGACACACGTGAATAAGTGAAAATTGAATAAAGGTCAAAAAAAAAAATGTTCAAGTGCAAATTCTGGCAAATTTGTTTTGAAGTAAGCACACAATTAAATATTCATTGAAAATTGTACATAAACTAGTTAATATAAAGTAAATAGTCCATTGAGAGCCGGTTTAGGGATAATGTTGGAATAAAAAAAATACCTTCACTTCTATGGTTAATTTTATGGTGATAGACTTTAACAGGATATTACCATATTTGATAATAACAACTATTAAATAATGAGTATAATTGCCTTTATATAAATAAATAGAACAAAATTGTCCAACGCAAAAAAGTTACTTAAAATATTCAACCTCTATTCGAAACAATTTTAAAAGCTCCAAATTATAACTTCATTCAAAAGTTATGTTGAGCTAAATTTGATAATCATTAAAAACGCTTCTAATAATTACCAAACACATTTAAATTCAAATTTAAAATAAATAAAAAAACGAATGGGTTCTAAATATTCATGGAAAATTGTATATAAACTAACTAATATATATTAGTTTCCTAGGGATGATGGTCACAAGTGTAAATTTATGAATAATTATTCATAAAAACATAGCATAAATGATCAAATATAGGGTTAAATTAGATTTTTTTTTTTTTAAAAGTGAATGGACACAAGTTAGTAAAATGAAATGAAAAGAGCGTCATGAATTAGTTTTGATTTTATAACAGCTTGTACCTCACCAGTGATGAGATATTGAAAGAAAATAAGTAGGTGATCAATTTACTTTTAAAATTATTTGTACACAATACAAATACTATTTGTTAAAAGAACTGTATAAAATAAAAATGCTATTGCCATTTATACAGAGTATTGTTGTAGATTCAAACTCTCAACTATAACTTACGTATATTACACACAATGAAAATTGTTAAAGAAAAAGTTATTTACCAATGTGTTAAAATGGGATTATTCGATAGTTGCAATGGTAAAAATGTCATGGTAAGTGAAAATTTATCTTTACAATTCATTAACAATTCTGCAAATGCCATGTTGCTCGAGTGATTGAGTTGCTAATCGTGTTTGAAAGCCTGTGTTCGAGTCTTGCACTCTCTCCATCCACACTGACAACTAACCCCTAACATTCTCACCCAAAAAAAAAAAAAAAAAACCCAACAATTCTAAACAATTCCGACTTTGATAATTAATTACTTAAACAAGTCATATATGCATTATGCTCAAGTTTCAAAAGTAATATTATATAACAATAAATTCATCAACGAATAATAAATTAATCAACATATATGGATTACTCTCATATATGATTGCTATTTTTATTTTGGAATTATTTTTTTATATGTAACCGTCACCTCTTGACAATAAATTAATTAATTCACACCATGTATGATTTTATGTTTATTTTGTCTTCTTATTTTTTTTTTATTTTCTTTCACAATTTACTCTCTTTCATATTTTATTTGTATTTTTCCCTATTTTTTAAATCATATTTTGACTATCTATTTGATACTATTTATTTATTTATTTAAAAAAATCACTATTATCGAATTAAATATTTAAACAATAACAAAAAAATCATGAATATTCCATTATACAAATAAAAAATCGTGAATATTCGATTATACAAAAAAAAAAAAAAATCGTGAATATTCAATTATACAAATAAAAAAAAATCATGAATATTCGATTATATAAATAAATAAAAAAACCAACAATTCTGAACAATTCTGACTTTGATAATTAGTTACTTAAACAAGTCATATATGCATTATGCTCAAGTTTCAAAAGTAATATTATCTAACAATAAATTCATCAACGAATAATAAATTAATCAACATATATGGATTACTCTCACATATGATTGCTATTTTTATTTTGGAATTATTTTTTATATGTAACGGTCTTGATCTCTTGCTCACCGTCACCTCTTGACAATAAATTAATTAATTCACACCATGTATGATTTTATGTTTATTTTGTCTTCTTATTATTTTCTGACGTTATTTTCTTATTTGTATTTTTCCCTATTTTTTAAATCATATTTTGACTATCTATTTGATACTATTTCTTTTTACCAAAAAAAAAAAAAATTCACTATTATCGAATTAAATATTTAAACAATAACAAAAAAATCATGAATATTCGATTATACAAATAAAAAATCGTGAATAGTTCGTTGTATGATAGGATTAGATAAAAAATAATTTTATTAGGTTTGGATTGAATTAAGTTTGATTAGATTGGTTTGATTAAAAACTTTGTCACACAATAAAACATCGTTCTTTATATTATTACGCACGGGTAAAAGCCTAATAACATGGATTAATGGAGACATTCCAAAAGGGAAAAACTAATTTTGAAAAACAAAAAAGAAGCCCAATTATCATTCGTTGTTATCCAAAACTGCAAATAATAAAAAATTACTCTGCGTGCGTGTTTTTAAGAGGATACTTTTAGAGAGAGGTTTTCGGCGAGGAAAGTAGAGAGAGAGAGAGAGAGAGAGCTTTGCTTAGATATCTTATTGTTGGCGGATTCTGTAGCAGACCGGAGAGAGAGAGGAGAGGAGAGAGAGAGAGAGAGGGCAGTCGCGCAGTCACGCTGTGTTACATCTGATTTTTTAGAGAGAGAGAGAGTGTAGAGAGAGAAAGAGAGGCTATGAGTAGCGGAGGAGGAAGCAGCACCAATGGTGGCAGGGTACAATCAATCCCATCGGCGTCGAGGAAGATGGTTCAGAGTTTGAAGGAGATTGTAAACTGTCCCGAACAGGAGATCTACGCTATGCTCAAAGAATGTAATATGGACCCTAACGAGGCCGTCAACAGGCTTCTATCTCAAGGTTTAAGTCCCCTCCAATCTCTCTGTCTCTCTCTACAAATTATGTTTTTTTATTTTTCTTGATTGTGATTTTGTTAAATATAAATTCTTTTGTTATCAATAATGGTGATTCTTTGAATCTTTGTTTATGTTTTGAGTTATATTTTTCTGTCAAGATTTATTATGCAGTTGTTTAACCATCTGTATTATGTAACCAAGATTTATCTATTTGTGAAAAAAATTGTTTATAGTACATATTTAGTTAGTACACACAAATATGTATAATACATGTTTATGCGCTTGTTCTCCGGTGTGACTTGCTTTGATTGAGGTTATGATAGAGCGGAATGGCCAAATGGTGAAAGAAAATTCATGTTGCCTATTCCAAATAGTTAGAAAAAGTATTATTATTATTTTTTGTTGAGTAAGTTATTTGGTTAAATTTGTAATTATCTTCATTGGTCACCGTCATTGTCCATGGTTAATAACATTACTGCATTCAATGAGACAAAAGAGGGCCCATTATTAGAGTTATTATTATCTTATGGTTGATGAACAATGGAGAAATTGAAACTAATATTGGGATGTATCATGTAACTAATTTTCAAAGAGGTGCCGGGTTCAATTTGGTAGCCAACAGAATTAGCATTATCCTTTTATTATTGAAGGGGATTTACTTTGTAGATGTTAGAACTTTTTGGTCAGTTGGAATTGCAAGTTGTTGACACAATTCAATAAAATCCTGACATCACCTTGTCTTGTTGCCAGACGGAATGACTATTCTGTTTCAAGTTCTCTGAAGTATCAAAGCCAGGGACAATGGTCCAATCCTTCAATTGGTACAGAGAATATTAATTGTAGATTTTTCGCACAAAGCCCCATATTTTTAGTATATTGAAGCACAAGGTACATGGTTAACTATAAAATAGTAGCACAACTAAGTGTTTAACGGGCTGGCCCCCGTGTGCCTTGCGCTTGTTGAAAACACATGTAAGAGTTGTTTTTTTTTTTTTTCCTGGTGGATTGATACCATCCCTTTTTTAAGATGCTGTAGACTCTCCGTTGACTAACCATGTCTAATAGGATATGTATTTTCTTTAAGAAGGAATAGTAGTAATAATACATGACTCATTAGACAGTTCACCACCCTGGTCCCTGTGCCGGAAGGGGATCCGAAGTACTGATCTGATCTAAGACAACGCGTGTGTATACTAATTAAGTTGGTGGTATCTTGAAATATTGAAGTAAGATGGCAAGAAGTTGAACATTATAAATGGATCCTTTGTGTCTTCATTTTCCCCTTTTTCAATTTCCTCCTCTCACTCACTCGTAGTGTCATTATCTTTTTGTTTTGTTGTATTGTTACACACATTCTCTCTCTCTAGCTTGTATATGGGGTGTAAACTTGAATTCTTACTCCTCCCCATGTAGTGTTTGATAATCACATTAATTAGGGGCATTAGGAAGAGTAGGGTGGGTACAAATCTAGTCTCCCACGGATTTCCATAAAGCAATTGTCCTTTTGGCTTGAACCTACTTGTTCTCGATTGGGAGACTTGAGTTACTTTTGCACCAAGCAGAGACCCGTAGAGCTTTCTTGTAATTTAGAAATTTATAGCCACTAAAGAGTATAAAATGTATGCAATAAGAAAAAAAGAGGAGTATATCATGTGGAATTATGGATGTTTTACACAAATTTGTGGTGGACCTCTTGGCTTGAACATATTCTTTACTTTCTCGCATATCATTCACGTACAAAAATGATGAAGAGATTGGAGTAATGACAAGGAGATTGGAGACTTTATGATTTGGATTACATATCAAAATCTTTTATTTGTAACAATTTGCAGAATTGAAAGGCATTGCACAATTTTCTGTCCCATAATAGAATAGTAAACTATTCACTTATCAAAAAAAGGTAAAATAGTACACTGCTCAAGTTACATTAATTTCAAGAGTCCTAGTTGGCAGTTGAAACATGTGAACATGACTGGTTTCAATGGTCAATAGGGAGAAGTGGCTCACATTTTGTAGCATCTTCATCTTCTTACAAAACAGATATTCATCTACCATGTTTTCTTCAATTACATCCGTCGCCGGCTCTTCTTGTTATGTAAGACTTGCACTGTTAGGGTTCCAAGAAACTACTCCCTCCATCCCAAAATAAGTGTCCACCTTTCCATATTTAGCTGTCCCAAAATAATTGTCCATATTCAAAAGTAAATGTACTATATTTTACAACTTTCCCAATTTACCCTTCTTGCATTGAACTTATAAAAACAATTAAATATAAAACATCATCACATCAATGTGGACCCACCATGGGTATAATTGGTAATTCATTCACTACCCCAATACAATAAAAAAATATTAAAAGCTAAATCTTAAAAAGTTAAGTTCCCAAAGGGGGGCATTTAAAATGTGATGGAGGGAGTAATAGTTTTTCTGTTTTGCCATATTTTGTTTCATTTCTCCTTTTTACTTTAAAGTTATTTGCATTGAAGTTGTATCCATGCTGTCACTGCTGCCAGCTTTGGTACTTTAGTGCCAGTTTAGTATCCTAATCAGTGGCTCACTGTTCCACCATGGAAAATTTTAAAGCCAAGTCATTTTTATATTCTTGATAGCATTCAGAATCATTTCTAATTTGATGTTTATCCACTGTCAGATCCTTTTCGCGAGGTGAAGAGCAAACGGGAAAAGAAAAAAGAGGTGCGTGGATGTTGAAATTGCATCAAATTTATTATTTGCAATATTTGATAGTTGACTTTCCCTTTTTTCCCCTTTAGATGACGTTATGTTTGTTATTTGCCACTGATTGTTTGCTACCTTTTGAGTTTGGATTTTTCTTCTTTAGAATTGCAGCATTTAGAATATGTATGTCTATATGGTGATGAAACCAAGCATTTTCCTCGGGGGTCCAAAAAATTTTAAGATTTACTTAAGACTTGTAGGTTAAATAGTAACTTATCAAAAAAAAAATTAAGATTTACTTAAGACTTGTAGGTTATATAGTAATTTATCAAAATGAAACCATGCAACTCAATTATCTATATAAAAAGACTAATTTGTGTAAAATATATTAGACCAACTTTAACATACGGCTGAAAAAAAAGAAAAAAACTTTAACATACGACTGCATCAAGTACTCAGTCTGGCAAAGCGGGTTTCACTCAATTCAGTTTAATAATTACAAGTAAAATCCAATTGGGGTATGCTACCAATTGACATGATTTTGTCTAGAATTCTATTTAGTCATGTACTATAATCATATTGGCTGGCTACCTAGCAGTAACTAGTAACTATAGAAGACTCTATGATGCTGTTTAAAGAAAGTATTTTTTCCTTCTTTTTTTTTTTTTTTTTTTTGGTTGTTGGGGGGGGGGGGGGGGGGGGCGGAGAGGCAGCTGTTTTTAGTATTTGCAGGGCTTATTTCGAAGTTTACATAATATCTCTATATATATATATTTTAATAACTTTAAAGCTACCATGCCCCTTCTAGATTCGTCTCTGAATATGTTCATATTTTTTACTTGAGTCTTGACTCTGAATTTTTTTTCCTTCTTTCTTAAAAAAAGGTTGTTAGCTCTTTTTAAACCCCCAATGGGGCAAAGTATATGACCTTGCTTGCATATTTTGCTACAATAAGGAGTTTGCATCTTAACTTCCCCCGTCCGCGCTCGATGCTTGGTGGGAGAAGTTCTTCGTAACTTATTGAAGTTGTATTGAGCTTTTGATTTCCTAAAGTACTTGTTAGAATGATTCCTGTTATGTTTTTCAGAATAAGGAAACAACAGAATTCAGGTCTCGTGGTGTCAGTAACTCTTCAAATCTCCGCAATAGGGGTGTCATAGAACGTAATATTGGACGTGGTAGTGCAACCCAATTCAGGGCTCCTGGTATGTGCATGCTGAGATGCAATTTTGGGCAAGAGTTCATTCTGTACTTTCTTGGAACTTCTTTTTTATCATGATAAACATATTCTTATCTGTTGCTTTATTTTATCAGAGTCTGGTGCTTTGCATGGTAAACCTGCACTTAAGAAGGAAAATGGAACAAATGCTTATACAAGTTTTTCATCTTCAACACCTGGAATGTCAGGATATAACATGAATCGGCGACCTCCAGCCCTCAGGTCTGTCCTTGTTAGAATTTGGGCTTTTTTATGTTATTGTTAATTTAGGAATCATTCTAAAGGCTATAAGTGTATTGTTTATAATTCCAAGATTACTAGTACGATGATCTGCTATTCATGCATGTGAAGACTTGAAACTTGGGCTAGAGGTCAATATTTCCCTATACCAGCAAGTGGCAATCTTTGGCATGTCTGAAAATTGGAAAAATGCATCCTAGTTGTACTGCTTTAGAAACAGTTTTTGGTGGAGTTCTTCGATATATAATTACATACTGGAAACAGTGCATGAAATTTTCTCATTGCAGGTTCTTGATCCGATTGAACTAAATGTGATCCTATTGGCATTAGCTCTTCTCGTGGCCATTATGGTTGTAATACAATATTAGTGAGATGAGAATATTGAAGTAATCGTTATTTGAAATTTAGTTATTTTCGTAAGGTTGCTTTATTTGTTTTTGAAGTGGTTATTTTTACAGAAATAATTCAGCAAGAGTAAGTTGTTATTGTTTCATGGATTAGAAAGATAGCCTTTTAACCAAAATAATCTACCTCTTTTCCTGATTTTGCGATCCAGGGCTCTAGTCTAATGCTATTTTTCGTAGTTTACTGTGGCATTAGAAGGAAACTTTTTCGATCGTAGTGGAATTTTGAGTAATCAAAGCTTACTTTTCCATATTGGCCCTTACACTTCACTGTTGATTACTTTATTATGTTCAGCATTATACTTAGGACATTGCAATATTATATGTATGAAGTTTGAATTTATTAAAAGAAAAAGAGAAAGAGAGAACATATGTGTAGTTTTAGATCCATCTGATAACACTGTCCCAATGTGGGATACCATTCATAAGATATTGAGAAGTATAAAAAATGTTCAAGAGATTGTGGTTTTACACATTTTTATATGCATCAAAGGAATCACCTGCATTTTTTTTGGTCACAAACAGAGGATGCAATCTGTTCGCCAATGCTATGTTTGCCATGCTAATAGTTTATTATTATTATTATTTATTTTTTTCATGAATGATGTCTCTTGCAGTGATTCTGTTATCGCTGAGGATAAAGGGTCATCGATAGGAACAGTTGATGGTATCTCATTGTCTTCGCAGCCTTCTTCTGGCCAACAACCTGCCTGGTTGGGAGTCCCAGGTCAAGTGTCAATGGCTGACATTGTTAAGATGGGAAAGCCGCATGGCAAGGGTTCCAGCACACCTAATCCATCTCACCACGGTTTTAATCATCATTCACATAACGATTTGCACTCTTCTGAAGGTCATGCTTTTACAGGCCAGCATGTTTCTCCCAATGATGAGTGGCCATTAATTGAGCAGCCACAAGCTGCTACCATGTCCTCAGTGTTAGAGCCTCGTGCGGATTCTGAGCTGCATGCAAATCCATCTAATTTGTCCTTTGATAGTATTAATCGTCCCCAGTCCCAGGCAGATGAGGTTTGGGCAGAAGAAGATGATGCTACTGTTGAAAATCCCATTGCAAACCATGTTGGACCTGCTAGTGTGTCCAGTAGAAAGATGGTGGAGGATAATACCAGAGGGGCATCTATTGTTAATAATGACCTGTACAAAAACACAGGTTCCTACAATTCTCAAAGCCATGTTTTTAAGCATCAGGAAGGTGAGTAAGACATCTACTTGTCATTTTGTCCTGCAATTTTGTTTGGAACATTTATTTTTTAAACATCCTTTTCTACAAGCCGATAGTTGCATTTTGATGGAATGGTTGTCTTAAGGTTATTTTATTTGTTAAAAGATTTGTGGAGTTCTTGTGATGTTTCTGTTGGCTTTGATGTAAAGTTTTAGTTGATCAAGATGTATACTTGTATTTGTAAGCTTCAGTTTGGAAATCGTGTTAGCAGTTGGGACTAATCCAGGAAGTTTGTTACTTGTTTTAATTTCATTGGTTAAGTGTTCATAAGATTTGATATCAGCTTTCGTTCACTTTTTAATATTATTATTTATTATTTTTACTCAATTATCTATTTAATTTACTGACCACTTTTATAGAGGCCTGATTGCTTGTTGAACTTATATATGTTTTTTAAGTTTGCACTTGTGTTGTGACATTACTATCCAGATATTGGAATATCTGGAGTGTTCTGTATCTCCATAGCAAGCTGGGGTTTTATAACATGTTGCCATGCAGCAATTGAATTTCTATGGTTTGTGGGAAGAAAATGATAAATCAAGAGGAGAATAAGAGAAAAAGAGAAATATAAGAGATTTATATCTGATCACGTGGTTCCAACTTTACTTTGATATTTTTTTTTTTTACTGTGAAATATGAAAAACAATGATACTCGACTAAACGGGCTAACTAATAGAGACAAACAATAAAGGTTGTGTTGCTACGTGAATAGTAATGAATTAGTTTATCAAGGTTTTTGACTTGTGTTTGAATTTCATTTATGTGATGGTTGCGTCATGTGTGTGGCATTATTCAATCACAGAGCATGGCATCTTTTCAATTTCTATTCGCATGTTTTTCTGTCTCTGAATGTTGGCAATATATTTGTATATTTGAGAATGTTGTCAATTTCTATTCACATTGTTACTTCAAATTTCTGCCATGCCATATACTTCAGCATTATCCCTTCAAAATCATTCTACAAGTGTATGTCTTGTACTCTTGTTTGACTGAGTGAAGTATTGGGTTAATTATTTATTTTGCCAGTTTTTTAAATATCTATTTATTGATGATACAGAAGCCGTTGGTTTTGTTTGTTAATGAGTGACTTGACTTATTTTGGTTGATATTATTATATCTCTTTACTTCAATGGAATTGATGGCAATATATAGATCTTTATTCTAATTCACTCCTTTTGCAGTTGAAGATGCTGGTTGCTCAGTATCGTCAGTGACTTCACATGTTCATCAATTAAGTATACAGGAGGAGGATCAGGGGGCACCCCCGGAAGGGAATACACCCTCTCTAATAATTCCACATCACCTGCAAGTCCAATCTGAAGACTGTTCGCACTTGAGCTTTGGTAGTTTTGGATCTAGTATAGGTACTGGTTCTTCTGGGCCTTCTGCATCTAGGCCCATGCAAAGTAACTTGGAAGATGAATCTGCAGATGTAGATGCTTCATCAATTGGGCACTCGGACACTAAGTACATCCTTCACTCATAATTACTAGTCTCTGTATTCTACTGGTTGCCTGTTTGTAGTTTTTCTCATAAATACTTTTCCTTGCAGAAATCACGAGTACTACAGGGATGAGCCTCTGAGAACTGTCTCAGATGGAAATTTAGGTCAGAGAACTGGCGCAAGTGATGGGAGTTATGATTTACCTTCTGCTTCACAACCAGACGTGTTGAAACAGGAAAATACTGAAGTAGCAAATGGAAATCAATACACATTTTCTTCTTCTTCTAACCCGGGTTATACCTTTGAAAATGCCCAACAGTTGAACACTGCATTCCCTCATTCTCAGACGAGCTCTCAGATGCAGAATCTCGCTCCCTTCTCAAGTGTAATGGTAATAATACATCGTGTTTTTCCCGCATTGGATTTTGATAAGTTAATGCTTTCCCCATTTTTGTGTGCCGTTGCTTCTTCACGGAGTGTGTTATATATTTAGAGATCATGTTACATTTGAAGCAATAACTACTGAGAGTTATGCATGGTAGATAAAGATTTTTTCTTTTTTTTTTGATAAATAATGTATTCATTGAAAGGTGCTTAAACTGGAAATGCATCCCATATACATCTGTACAAAACCAAAACCCAAAACCAAATAAAATCTCAAACTATCCAAAAAACACATGAGATTCCCAGATTTACAGTACCAACCATAAATCCAAAAAAATAAGGATCTAAGAATATATAATTTAAGCGCCCATAAAGGAGTCTTCACTCCTTTGAAAGATCTCCTGTTCCTCTCCCACCAAAGGCTCCACCAGAAGCAAAGAGGGGCGATGCTCCAAGTATCTCTAACTTGCCTCCCCACTATGCATCCTCTCCAAGTATCAAGTGTGCTCCTCGTGGAAGACGGCATGACCCAATTCATCCCAACCAAAACAAGAAGCAAGTCCCAACCCTCCCTAGCCACTGGACAATGAAGGAGGAGATGATTTCCTTTCTCCTCTCCCCTCTTACTCACGCAACACCAATTAACTATGATCTGCTTCCTTTGCCTCAAATTTTCAGAAGCCTTTTTTGTGTTGAACAAGGATTTGTATTTGTATGCCAAATAAATTTGCCCTTTGTTAGGTCAAAAGGACTAGGTTGGCTTATCTCGTGGATCAAAATTAGAGTTTGTAGGTTTGTTTTTATTTTTAGTGTAGGTAGAAATTTAAAAGTTAGTGTCAAGTTAGTTACCTCTTGGTCATGGTCAAAGATGAATTTCAAGCTTCAATCGAGGGTAAAAGCGTAATCTTATATACCAAGGGTATAAAGGTAAATTGACATTTCTATGCGCTAGCAAAAATTAGGGTTCATGCATTCATGTGTTAGGGTCTTGCGATTTCATGATTTGATTTGGAAAATCCTATTTGGTTTAGTGTATATATAGTGTTCTGTAAACTACCTTTTCTGAAAATTTTCTAAGTGTAGAGCTGCACAGTACTTCGATCAATCGAGGGTTATTGGATCATGTTGATCAATCAACATGTCTCTCAATCGAGTGAGCTGTTCGAAAAAGCAATTTCCTTTTCAACTTTAAACATTAAGACCCTATTCTGTCTACGGTATTGATTTTTCTATAAATACACTATCTTAGGACAAATCTTATACATAGAGAATATAGAAAGAAATATATTTTTTGAGGGCTGTTGAGTAAAATTTGAGTGTATTCATAATTTACTTTTAGCATTCTTATTGCATTAGATTGGTGAGTATTATATGAGTGTGTTGACTTTGTAATCGTTGTGGAGCTGATTCGGAAGAGTTCAATGCCCACAATTAGTCAATTGAACTGAAATTGGAGTAGACGACTGGTCATTGGCGATCAGATCAGTGGTTGGTGGAGCTGATCGTGCGAGGAGCAGATACGGGCGGGACTATGTGCCTTGGAGACTTGTGGTTGATCAGTGCGTGTCAAGTGGTAACTAGTGGTTTTAAGGATTGAAAACTGTTGACATTGTGTAAATCTCTTTCTCATTGTGGATTTGATTTGTCAGGACTAGGTCCCATGGTTTTTCCAGTTTGGGTTTTTCACGTTAAAATCTTGGTGTTCTGATCATGATTTTTACTGCTTTAGTTTATTACTGTTTTATTGGTATGTCGATTAACATGATTGATTAGAGTAGAGTTAATATTTAGGTTTAATTTGAATTTGAAAATTTGGTAGTATAGTTAAGAAATTCGAAAGTTGTTAAAATTAGTTAAAGCTACAAGTAAGAGCTATTCACCCCTCTTAGGTCTAGATCATGAACCTTGCACTAACGTTATATCAGAGCCTAGGGTTCTGGTTCTTACCCCATGACTCTTTGATATATCAGAAGGAAAAACATGAACAAGATTTTTGTAGAAACAACAAAAATTTAGAGAGAGTAGAAGGGGTGTAAAGTTTTCAATATAATCTAGGGCTGCACACAGTTTTTGTTGAAACAACGAAAATCCACGGTTTATGCAATACAAGCCTTACAAGATACATCCTGGATTTTATTCTTAGGTTTGGTCATTCTCTATATTCTTGTGCAATTGCACTAAACATGGTTGGGTTGATAACTCAGGTTCTTTGGACATATATTGTTTAGATTGCTATTGATTTACTTGTCTTTTTGAAAATTTAGTGTAGCTGTAATGAACCAGAGACTGAATGACCTCATTTCTGTTGGGTCGTAATGGAATAATAGCTCTTCTTCTTCTTCTTATGGTTGAGGTCGGAAATGTACCCGAGAGGAGTAGTCCCCAATACCCTGTAACCACTGTAATCTTCATGAAGGAAGAAACTGATTCAGAATCTTTGAATTACCTCAAGATTTACAGATGTTCTGGCTGGCAACTTCCATTGTCTTTCTTTAATATCTTCATGCTAGGATGTTTTGTTCTCAGATTGAGAGATGGACATTATAAATAATAACAGGGGGTTTATAAGTCGAAATGCATTGTAATCATTGAGGGTTTTCCCCCCCCATAAATATTGTAATCATTGAGTTGCATAACCATTTTTGTTTTGTAAGGGAGTTTTATTTCTATTTTTGATTAAATAATTTTATGTTGTGTTGTAATTATTCCTACCACGCGAAGTGTCTATATTTATCATTGCTCTGAGCCCATATAGACTAGTTTCCTAAGGAAGATTCATTTACACAATTGTTAACCTCACTTTGCCATGCACTTTTGTCCTTTATTGTTGTTGCTGCTGCTGCATTATAATCTTGCTATTCAGGCTGTCGTGTCTTGTATGATTGCACCTATTTGTGCTTAGCATCATAAGCATTTTCTTGTATGTACTGATAGTTTTCTTTGTTAATCCTCACTCCATGTGTTTCTATAACAGCAGGGATATACAAATTCGTTACCAAGTACTTTGTTGGCATCCACTGTTCAACCTGTAAGAGAGTCCGATCTTCCATACTCGCCATTTCCAGTTGCACAATCAATGCCTACAAAACACGGCAACACATTTTCTTCCATCACTGGTTCAACAATTTCCATCTCAGAGGTACCTCAGCTGCGCTAATGGTTTTTTTTCCTTGAAATTTTAACTTTATCATAGAGCAACTGACTCATTCGTAATCGATGATAAATCTTCATAAGACATCCTTCGTGTTCATAATATCTCTTCAATGTTTAGCTCAATCTAAGGACGTAAGCTTGTGTTAATAATATGTCCTCATTTTAATTTCCTTGTAGCTCGACAAGTATTCAGTTTGGCTCCATTTTGGTCATTATGTCTTCAATTTGAACCCAATCAGTCTTTACTGTGAGTGCAGTCATTGATTGCTCATGACTGACATACCATTGTACGTTATTTTGTTTTCATTCGATGATGGCTTTTAGCAATTCAGAAGGACTTTCATTTTTCATTCTATCTTTTCTTGTGTAGTTCATGCCTCTTACATCATCTTCTGGTAAAGCCGATAGGAAAAGAAAATTTAATCAGAGAAGAGATGAGGAAAAACAATACAGTTCTCCAAAACCAACCCTTCATTTTGAACGTAATCACTCCTTACTCTTGGTGCAGTCATCAGTTTTCTTGCATCCATCACTAATTTTAACTGGACTGATGGCAGTTTTTAAATTATTTAATAAAGATAAGAGAAGAGGGCAAGACGATAGATGTTCTTCAAAACCAACACAAAACAGAAGTGCAAACCAAAGAATTCATGACGGCATAAAAAAATTAAAGAACACATGACGAGCTGTCACTAAGTAATCTAATCTGCCTATAATAGGGTCCTTTGCTCCCACTGTCAATTTGTGGATTTACAAATTGAAAGTGGTTGTATGGTAAATCTGTGGATCCATTGAAACCAGTTTGCGTATTGGCCATTTAGAGAGTGGATTGGCACAAGCCTAGGTGCTCTCTTGTTTTTTGAACTTTTTTTTTGACTTTTTAATTTGTTTTATAGTTGACTAGTGTCCACCTGATTATGATGTTGGGATTTTTTTGACTTTTACCAAATCTACTATAAGAGAGAGAGATTTACAACCTAGGTTAACAGATTCTACCTCAAGAATCCCTTAGTACCACTTTGACACTGAAGATTTCAAATTTCTCCCAAAAGTCTCCAAGCAGTTCTTCCGGTCGCCAATGGCGTCCTCTCCCCACAAACGTGCTTCTCTGGTGATTTGGTCTCAGCCACTAGGTGTCCAGGCTTCAAGCACAGATAGTGGATTGAACAGTTGGGTTGACCTTGTCTTTGTAACAACAATGGATGTCAACACATATATACTACACTCCCCAATTAATGCAGATGATGAATGTAAAAGAAAACTGAGATGCACTCTCAAAAACTCACTATAATCTGTTCTATATGATGTTCTTAATGTATATGAGTTGTGTTCTTGTATTAAGTATATATAGGCAACCAAATAGTTTAGAGAAATTGGGGTAGGTAGAGTTTAAAACCAAGTTGGAAACTACTTTTGCGAATAGTTTGATAGATCGAAATTGTCGTTGATCAATCAACATCACCCTAGAGGGCTTGGATTGATAGCTCAATGGATCATAGTCTTCTGCAGGTTTTATCTTAAAAAATTTAATAAGGAAGTTTTCAGAAACTCTTTTCATGCAATTTTGAAACAATTTAGGGAATCAAAATAAGATTGAATCATAAAAATTTAGAAACCCTAGATATGCATGCATGAACCCTAATTTGGTGAGTGCATCATTGTGTCAATTTACTTTTACACCCTTGTAAACAGAGATTACCATAATACTCTTGAATGTAGCATGAATTTCATCTTCGACTTTGGGAGATAACCAACATTAACTAACTTCTGAAATTTTCTAATTACGCTAGAAATTAAAACAGAAGTTACAGACTTATGTTTTGATCTATGAAATTTGCCAACCTAAAGTGTTATTGACCTAAAAGAAATCTTTTTATATTTTTTTACAGAGAGGTCTTTAACTTGACATCATCTCACTACTACAGGAGCTAACATCCACTGTACCACATCTGTTCAATTGCCCAAGTCATTTCTAACTTTGTCCAATAGTAATTTTTTTGTGTCATTTTTTTTAAAAATCCTAAAACATTATCAATGAATAACATGCATATACGTGTCTGTGCGCGCACGCTTGCGCGATGATATATCTAATAGCCTGTGTATGCAGACCACTGGACCATAGTATTTCTATTTAGACTACTTTACTCCATGTTTTGGGGAGTCACGCAACTCCTAAAATACTCCAAAGGTAGTGTATTCCTTCTAGAGGGCGTAGAAGCATTTGAATTGCCTGATATTGGCTCCTGAAGAGCTGAACATCTTCTAGATATACAGATGCATTGATTTTATTTAAAAGTTTGTGTGATCTCCAAGGGCTTCCCATGGTTAACTTTAACCCAAACAATGATATTAGAGTTATCTCCTAAAAGATTATAATTTGAATCCTAAATTTTCTAGCCATGGGTTAAAGTCGTACGCTGCAAGTACCGAGTATGGGTATGTTGTAGTGTATTGTCTGTATTGTACAATATGCTATGCAGCATGGGCCTCAATGGAATTGCAAAAACCATGAAATTTTTAGACATTTGAATTGCCTGATATTGGCTCCTGAAGAGCTGAACATCTTCTAGATATACCGATGCATTGATTTTATTTAAAAGATTGGGAGATCTCCAAGGGCTTCCCATGGTTAACTTTAACCCAAACAATGATATTAGAGTTATCTCCTGAAATGATTATAATTGGAATCCTAAATTTTCTAGCCATGGGTTAAAGTCGTAGGCTGCAAGTACCAACTATGGGTATGTTGTAGAGTATTGTCTGTATTGTGCAATATGCTATGCAGCATGGGGCTCAATGGAATTGCAAAAACCATGAAATTTTTAGACACAATAAGAAGAGTAACATGGTTTTCCAAACTAAACACAATACGATATTGAAGACGTAAAATGCTGCGACAATACTCTACTACAATATTATATAATAGCTACATAATAAATATTCAGTACAGTTAATAAATATACATTTAGTCTATCTTTATTTTACATAATGCTTGGTCATAAATATTAATAAATATTGCAAAATTAATATAGGTAAGCTTTCTTAAACTCTGGAACCTACAACTAAAACACACTTGAGGGCTCTATGTATGCTTGACTGAAGTGGCTCCCCTATCATACACAATGATGCTTTTTGTTGAGCACTGACGAGCGTGGGGCTTTTTTGTGTCTAGGTGCACTTTTATTAGCTATGACTGAGCAGTTCCTTTAAGAGCTTGGAGGCTGAAAGCCTGAGGAAAATAATTGGGGATCATAGCAATGAAGTTTATGAATAAAGGTCTATTGGAAAATAATGGCCGTTTCTTGTTCTTAACCATGTAGAGACTAGAGACTATAAATGCACATTTAACTTAAAAGAAATAAGAAAAAAGTAGCGCATTGTCCTACCTCCAGAGAACAACCAAACATTGAAACAGGAGCTGGAAGATGAAGAGATGTTTCTTTGTGTCCCCCGTTATGTATGTATAATTAGGTCATGGCGGGTCATCTTGTGAAGTTCCCTTCGGGTTGATGGGCAGTGGAGTAAACAATAGTTCCAGGGCACTTTTCACTCCATCTGTGGGAATCCTCTGTCTGAAAAGTTCTCATCTCTCTCTCAATAAAGAGATGGATAAAGGGGCAGGGGCGAGGAGTTGTAGAAATTTGACAATAAATAAATACATTCTTAAACTTTATCTTTAAAAGCTCCAAAGAATAAGAAAGTAATATACTATCCGTGGCTATAACTTCTCTTCCTAGCTCATTAACCAACATCCTACCCTACGGCCTAAGACAAACTATCGAACGAACAATTCCAGTTAAAATGGAAGCAATTTAAAACCATATGGTCTAGCCAATAATAACAATCAATGATGGCTCTCCTCTTTCTTTTGACATGAAAAATCATATAAACAATGACTAGGCATTTATGATTTTGTCTCATTTGATGCATGCAAGTTCTTACACCAATAATTATCATCCACTCATTGTTGAATAATCTGTCAACCTTTCATTTGACTAGTCAGCTGGGACAATCCTACAATTAATTACTCAATTCATTTGTGGCCTTCGATGTCTTTGGTTGGCAATGATCCTATTGGTCATCAATTCTCCTGTGTTTAGTCCGTAGCTGAAGCCTGAAACCCTTCACCATGTGTGTGGTTGATTACGTTTCTGCAACACACATAACCAGTGCTATTAGGAGAACATTGGGAATTGGATTGGGATGTGGCAAAAGACAAAAATAAGTCCATTCTGTTTTACTGGCACTTGGATTGAGTTGTTTTTTGTATTAGGATTTTGTCCATTTATTTTCATACGCCAGATAAGTTCTAAAATTTCATGAAACGCTATTTCAGTTCTCTTCAAATGGTAGGGAAAGAAGAGGAATTATTCCATTTCTGTTGGACTTCCAAATCCAATCCTTAATAAAATGAAAATAGACTTGGTTTTTTTCTGACGAAAAATTCTGACAATCTTTTTTTTTTTTCAATGACTAAATCAATGGCTTGGCGAGTTTCACTTCTACATCATATCATTACATCTACTAGGAAAAGAACAGTTGAATGTTTTTACATTAAGAATTAGACCAAAAAGAAAACCTCATTAATGTTGCAGATCCTTCTTTTATTATTATTATTGTCGTCGTTGTTACATGTGTGTGTCCTAGCAAATAACACACACACTTTGCCCCTGTGGCGACTTGAGCTCCAACCTTCTATTTTGGGAGGTAAAGGAAATACCGTTAGACCATACTCTTGGTGGTGTCACTGATCGAATTTCACACACTATTTTTTCGTTAATTATTCTGATTAGTTTCTTATACAAGTGCAGGCTTTGAGGACAGCTAATTTTTCGTCAACTCAGCCTCCTCCACAAACCCTTCCAGGAACCAGCGTTGCCACAGGACCTGCTCTGCCTCAACACCTTGCAGTGCATCCATATTCCCAACCCACTCTTCCTTTGGGACCTTATACCAACATTATTGGCTATCCTTTCTTGCCTCAGAACTATACATATATGCCATCTGCTTTCCAGCAAGCATTTGCTGGTAACAGCACGTACCATCAATCTTTAGCAGCAGTACTTCCACAATATAAAAATAGTGTATCTGTCAGCAGCTTACCGCAATCTGCTGCTATTGCTTCTGGGTATGGTGCCTTTGGGACTTCAACCAGTGTTCCGGGCAACTTCCCTATGAATGCGCCTGCTGCACCTGGTGGCACGACCGTGAGCCATGATGATGTTTTAAGCTCTCACTACAAAGACAACAGTCATTTGATCTCTCTTCAGCAGCAGGTAACTCCGATTGGGCATCTGGAAACCGCAATGAAAAAATTGAGGGTGATTCAGTTGTCTTCAGTTGCATTTTAACTCCCTTATTTTGTTATGTTGAACTGAATCTTTGTTAATATCGTAATACAGAATTAGAATTGTGGTTGTTCTGAAATAATTTTCTTTTTGTGAATAGACTCGTTAGATTAATAAAGACTGATTTGGGAAAAAAATAAAAATAAAACTAAATAAATAAAATAAGTTTAGCTATTTTTGTATGGAATATCTTCTGTTTCTCTTTGTTGCATCTTCTTTTGAAACTCATGATTTTTTTCCCTTCTTCCTATCATTTGGACAGAATGAGAACCCAGCTATGTGGGTTCATGGTCCTGGTTCCAGAACAATGTCAGCTGTTCCAGCCAGCACATATTACAGCTTACAAGGGCAGAATCAACAACTCGCTGGATTTCGCCAAGGCCAGCAGCCTTCACAAAATTATGGAGCAATTGGGTACCCAAATTTTTATAATTCTCAGACTGGAATTTCGATGGAACATCAGCAGCAAAACCCTAGAGATGGTTCCCTTGGTGGCTCTCAAGGCCAACCTTCTAAGCAGCCCCAACAGATATGGCAAAACGGCTACTAATCTAATCACCTCCAGGTTTTTCAGGGTCTTGTAGCAAGTTTGAAAGTGGCCTATCGAGGATTCTTGCGGTTGAATTGAATTAGTTTATAATGATCCCAAAGAGAACTTGAATGGCTGCTGCCCTGTGCCTCGAGTTTGTATTCTAGGTATTTATTTTCAGATAATGTAACGTAGGAACACGTGTGCTAATTTGGAATCACTGAACTTCAATTCTCTTTATGTTCTTTGAAATTCTTAGCCCCAATTCCCCTTGCAGTGAGAAACTATGTTCTGTTCGCACGGTGAGTTATTAGTTTTTGATGTTTTCGTCATTTTTTAACGTACTCTTCCTGTTCCTCATACTATTAGTAATTAAATTAATAGCGAAGGCTTTATTTTGTTGCCCATTGTATTATCTTTTGCAGAGCATAAACAATTTCTGAGATAGTCCTCTATGTTGGAACTTTAGTTCTGGAAGTTCGACGATTTTGTTTTAATCTTCTGCAGTTTGATCTTGTTACTTTCGACAAATAACGAAAGATATTGAAGAAAATATCACGTCTAAACTAGATACTTTCTTATAAAGGTAGTGTTGAGCCCTACCTATCTGCAGATGACATGGTTTAAATATATACTTCAAAGGAAGACTTGGTAACAAAACTAGAAATAGGAAAAAAGATATTAGAATCAAGGGGCCCGAGAATGAGTAAAATTTAAAGGGAATATATGACATGTAAATTTGATAAAGTATAAATTGACAACAATATAAATATTATTTTTCAAGGGGAAAGAGTTACTCAAAAGAACTATTTCCATTATTTAGAATCAATACTACAAAAAGACAGGGAGATGGATGGGTGATGTTGCAAGTAAGATTGGAGCCAAATGGGCAAAATAGATGTAAACAAGTGGATTGATATCCTTTGTGACAAACTAATACCAAATAAATAAAATGAAAATTTTATAGAACGATTATTAGTCTGGTAATATTGTATGAAGCGAAGAGCTTGGCATTAAAAAAACATAAATACAACATACTGATGTACAACATACTGATGTAGTGAAAATGAGGATGATATGACGAAATAAGATAGATAATGAACATGTGAGAGGAATATTAGTTGTGACGCTCCTTTTACTTCCATATTCCCTGAGGGCAAGTTGCAAAATAAGGTTGGTGTCTCGAAAGTAAAAAGTGGAAAGTAAAACGAACAAAATCAAAATTTCAGGACTTGGAGTCATGATCAATTAAATTAGCGATGATCTCAATAGTCGTGGTTGATGGAGTGGAAATCACTGCAAAATTAGCAGTATCAGGTGCTATGATGCTGAAGAATCTCATTCCATGTTCATAGGAAAAACTCAACAAAAAAAAAAAAAGGAAAGTAAGTTTAGGTGGTTTGGGTGACAATTGGGTGGTTTGGGTGGGTTTGGGTTGATGATGGACAGGGGCGGAGCCAATTAAGACCCAGAGAGGGCACGTGCCCCCCCTCACTTTGCTCTAACCTACTATACATAGGTACATATTTTTGGTATATACATATACGTACAAGGTAATTTTAAATAGTGCCCCCTTCAAATTTTCAAATTCTTCTAATTTTCTTTTGAAAAAAAAAAAGAAGTTACATATATCCCTTCTTCAAGTATACATTATATTTTTCCTTTTCTAATTTTTGTTTCCTTTTTCAAATTTTTTTTTTTTTTTCCCACTTATGTATAATTATGTATTTTTTTAAACTTACTTATTTTTATTGATGACATTTGTGATTCTATTTAATTAAAATATTATTAATTAATATTTTGATTCTTATATCTGTAACTATATATTTTTTTACACCATATTATTTTACAATTATTTTTTTCTTATTTGCCTTTTTGATTTAAAAAAATTATACTTTCTATTTGTCATATTTTTATTTATTTATTTAACAATTGCATTGTGCCCCCCCTGAAACAAAATTCTGGCTCCGCCCTTGATGATGGATGAGCGAGTTAATAATAGGTCAATAACTCATTATCAACCCATTTATGATGGGTCATAAAAAGATTGTGTGTTAAATGGGTTAGTTAATATACACCCAACCCAATTATTCAAATTTTTTAGATATAAATTGTCAAATTATTTTAATTGTTGAATACAAATATATATATATATATATAATGTTTTTATATTAAATTTAGGGTTAATTTCAGTAACACTTCATCAGGTTTGGCCAAATATCACTTTGAAACATCTTTCAAAAATTACTATCACTTGGTCCAATTTTACTTTTCTATCATTGACACCGTCAGAGTCGTACGAAAAGACAATTTTGTCCTTAATTTTTTAATATAATTTATTTCAAATTATCAACTAATTATTATGGCTATTTTACCCCTCATTCATTACCACCACCCATCACACTTATTTCTTTCTCCTCTTTCACAATTCTGCTAAATGGACCACATTAGTTATTTTTTTTCCTCTCTCTAATTCATCTTCTAAATTGGAAAAAAATTGTTCCCTTTCCACTTCAAAACAGCACAAACAAATTGGTAATCCTATACTCAAACATTGGAAATATTGTTTTGAATGATTCAAAATGTGTTTGCAGCACTCGAATGCCTTTTTTATTTTTTATTTATGAATTGCAGCACTAAAATGACTCTCAACTTGGAATAATTTTGTAAGGCACCTTGTGTGTAGAATAAGCCAATTAATGAGAAACACATAAAGAAGAAAAAAAATAATCATACATACATTCGTAGATTATAAAGAATGGCGAAGCAAAATGATAAAAAAGAAAGGGAAAAAAAAAAACTAAGGGCAAAAGCAATCCACAAAAACAGAGAAATTCAAATAATAACAAAAAGCCAAAACAAACAAGTGTTGCGATTTTAAGTTGAAATAATTGTTTAGGCGAGTGAAGATCGCTATTGTACCCTCTGTTTTTCTTTCAAAAGATTGCAAACACTTGGCGCAAAGCTTGCCGATCACCATTTATTATAAAAAGATCCTAATGAAATTTTATACTCATCACTTTTACATAGTTCAGGCCCAAGTTTTTTTCAGTTACAAATAATGATGACAGGCCAACATTAGGGCCTGTTTGGTGTAAACAGACCGCCCCATCAATGAAAAGGGCCCATCAACCTATAAACTAGGGGCAAAATGTAAGAAATTAGGGCAAGAAGCTAGAGAGAGAAAGAAAGGCAGACTCTTTGGAGTGTGAGAAAACCCATTCTTATTATGGAAGAACATTTTCTTGCATTCTTCACTATTCTTGGATCTAACGTGAGATGGTGAAGCAGATCTAGTAGGCTGTCTTGCCAAGCATGATGATGGGATGAACCTGCTTATTCGAATTGACTTATCTAAATCCATAGATTCAAATTCACTTTTTAGGTTCTTAAATGGGCCGTTGGAACTTCCACAGTAAGAGTCCTTGTTATTGTCATTTGGTTGTTTGAAATGTTTAAATTACCCATGTGTTCGTTTTTTTTATTATTTTTCGGTAAAAAAAAAAAGAAAAAAGAAAAAGTGTTCGTTTTTACCACGTGACTGATCACTTTTGTGGTATTATGGTATAGTTTGTCACTCTTAGAGGGCGTCAGAATGAGGCCACACAATGTCCTTCTCTCTTCTCAGCTAAAAAAGGCTCACATGTCCGTGTTTTCAGTGCTTTACTTTTGATCCTTGATCATCATAAATTTAGTATTGATGGAGGACATATATTGTCATTTTTGCCTCGGATCTGGGAAACAGGGCAATTCTTTCGCGGCTTGTTAGGCATCCTGATCAAGGTAGTGTACGTTTGGGATGGCGCTACTGAGCAACAGGTAAATAAATAGAAACAGTATAATAGTGGTCTTCAATCTTGATAGTGGCAAGACTCGGATATTACTTTATCATGCTTCTTTCTCATTTTCAATACTCTCTCCTCTGTGTTTGGTTCATTTAGCAGGAAAAAAGAGGTTTTAGGTTCGAGTTGGTGATTCGATCGTGTGGAAAAAAGAGGCTTTAAGTGCGGAATCTGAGAAGAGCAGAGCAATTGCTAGCTAAGTAACTGGAAGTTAAATGCATATCCAATGAACTTGTGGAAAGCTGGAAGCTACGCATCATGTCCGTATAACAGTATCTTGTACTTTATTCCTGATTTTGTTTCGGTATAGAAATGGCAGGTGCCTGATGTTTATGTTGCGAAACATGTACCATGGAGAAAACTTTACATGGGCCGGGACGAGTTCAAATAAAAGAACATTTTGTTTACTATATGATTAAGCTTTGCTAAGGGATTAATTAAAAATACTTGGCTGATCTTTTTGTCAAGGCAAACAAGCAAAATCTGAATAAAAGCTGTCACGTCTGCTTATGTGTCATATTGAGATTGATTGGAATCATATAATAGTTTCTCGTGTAAAAGACCTAGCGACATCTGGTGGCCTTTCACTGAGCCTTCCACCGGATCTCAAATTAATTACAATCTGACTCGAGAAAATGTGACCACCCCTGTACCCTCAGCCTTTCACCGGTTCATTGTTCCTACTCCTTGAGCTTTGTTTGTTCATTTCTTCATTTCTGATCTCTTATTTAGCAAAGAAAAGCATGCTCTCAAATTAGTAGAGCATGACCTCGTGAATAATTTGTATTTCGGTACGATTTGTCACATTATTAGATCAATAAAATAATAACTACTTCGTATGAAATAATCATAAAGAATAATAAGATAACTACTGTAATAGTCTCTAACTCTTTTTATTTTTATTTTTTTTAATATGATTAGTATTAGAGGAGCCTCTTATCGAATTCAGATGAAAATGGAATGAAATGTATATGAATTGAATGTCAGTGTCTTTTAATAAATTTAATTAGGTATATATGAATTGAATGTTAATACCATTTAATAAATTAAATTTTTAATCGAGTTAAGCTTGTTCAAGTGTTGATTAATCCATATTTAGTTTGGTTTTAGAAATGGTCCATAATTTCTTCTAAGGCCAACCAGTACTTTGAATATAGGGTTATTTCCTGAGTTACACCGTCCTTATCAACGGGTGTCGCTCTTATGCTTCGAGCACATTTCTACTCTTACCCTCCTCGCGCGTTTTGCTACAGATTCTCACTATTTATGACTTAATTCTGCTACTCTAACACTTCCGCTCTCGCTTTGGCTCCCCCTCACTCTCCTGTTCCCATTTTATGTGACTTAGATTATTTCGAGGTGTATATATATTTTTTTATATGCATATTTCATGAATTTCTACCGCTATTACATTTTATGGATAATAATGACTGTTCCTGCTGCTATTTCATTTTTGACAGAAAATACTTCACTTGGTCTTTATCCATCAATTTATGGAACAATCTCAATTCTACCCCTGATAGAGAATGGGCTAGAATCATCTCCATGGCACCTGTCACTGGAGGGTGTCCATGGCAGATCCAAAGGCTGAGATGAAGCCAAGTCAGCCCAATTTGCCATGTCATCACTGACAAAGCGCCAAATCAGCAGTAAGTTTTGAAACTTATTTTTTTACCATGTACGGATACTTTAGACAAAATACATACTTACCATATACGAATACAATATAACAAATTTATACCAAAATTACTTTTTTTTCCTTATGCACCTTCATCCGTACCCTGGTTCAGATTTTGAATCCCTCTGAAATTGAAGTCTCAGGAATCCGGCAGAGCATACTGCATTCAATAAAAAAGCAAAAGAATCAGATCTGCCTTGTGAAATGAAGGTAAAAATCACAGAAAAATATATCAAATTATAATGTAAAAACTGAAATGGGAGGAATTGATTTTGTGCATTCAATAAAAAAGCAAAAGAATCAGATCTGCCTTGTGAAATGAAGGTAAAAATCACAGAAAAATATATTAAATTATAATGTAAAAACTGAAATGGGAGGAATTGATTTTGCGAAGAACCTTGGACACTTCTTCAGTCATCTTCTTCAAATCGGATTGATTTTTGCCGAAACCATTCACCATTTCGCCGAACAAGAGGAAGAAAACCGGCATGGAAGAGCCGTGAACAATAGCTCCCAAGCTTCCGGAGATCATGAGAAGCCAATCGTACTTGTCGGCGAATGAGAATGGCTGATGAAAAGGAAGACTCTGCTCCTTCTTCGATTTTGAATCATTATTATTACACCATTTTTTGCTTATCCACTTCTTTAAAATCCAAATGTGAAATAGCAATTCCATTGTTCGATGAAATGTCCGATAGAATTGTTTCACACTTTAAACAGGTGTTGTAATTACATTGGAACACATATCTTTAATTGAGGATGAACTTCAGGACCCAAGCATTGCTTGTGCTTCCAGTTGCGAATTTATGTCATAGACTTGTGCATGTTCAATAACTGTTGACTGATTTGACGCTTCAAGTGTTTTGTGTATGATATTGTGCAGTTGACATCTATCATCAGAAATCCAAAGATAGTTTGAAGCACAAAGAAAATTTTGAAGGAGAAACAGAGAACCAGCAACGACATTGAAACTGGGAAACATTTTATTTATGTTAAAGCCTTCAGCTTACTCATACATACACACAGTACGTACACACTTAACCCACTCATATACATCTATGTTCGCATATTATGTCAAAACCACCACAAAACCCCAGTCGTAGTAGCGGCTGCTATTTATAGCCTTAGCTCGCAGAGGCGCAACCACACCAGCTGGGTCCACTCCAGCGGCAGCACGCACACTCTCACGCATCAGCACGACCCTCCTGCTTCTGCTGCTGGTGCGGTCCCCCGAAGAACTCTTTGCTTTGGTTCCTGAAGATGTCTTCCACCTCTCTTGCCGGTACATTGAACGCCAACTCCTTTGCCTCTCTCTCCATCTAATTTATTATGTTCCTCCTTCATCAGTCGCCGGATTCTTGATCAGTTACCGGATTCTTCTTGAGTTCAATTTCAGAGGGAGAGAGAGCTGAAATTCAGAGGCAAATAATGATACAAAATGATTAACATTTTACTTTTGGGGGAAAATAACATTTGACATTTGGAGGGAAACTTTTGGGGGGAAATTTGAGATTGTATGTATACAGAAGTCTTGTATAGATACACAGGATATTATTATATACATACGAGGTAAATAGTTTATATACATACTTGCCATGTCACTCATGCCACGTCAACAATGGTGACCCTCCAGTGAGAGGATAGCAGGAGACGATTTTTTCCCCAATTCATGAATATCGTCGAGAGAGCTGTCTCTTCATAGCTATTATTCAAAATTAAATTTGTCTCTTCATAGCTATTATTCAAAATTAAATTAAGATTGCGACTGGTCAGATGTATATATGAAAATTTAAAGTATTAAAACTTTTATATTAATCGGTGTGATTTTTCACAAAATCTTTTTCCTATAAGTTCGTAGTTTCTTTAGTAACTCACAAAAATGCATGCGACTCAGAATCCAAGATCAAAGAAATTTTTACTACTATCCTTACAAAAATGCTTGCAATTAAAATCAATATTGTTCTTAAAATCACTACTATGTCAACAGTAATAGTGATTTTAAAAAATAATTATTTTAAAATATAATCACGAAAAATAATTACAAGCACCACGCAATACATAAAATTTAGTATTATTTTTCACGTCACTCACTTTAAATTCCAATTCTTTTTTTTTAGCATTACTCCAATTAATTAACTAATTCTAACTTATATGGCGTGTGACGCGTGGTAAAGCAAAGGAAAGAGAGTGCGAATACTCTCTCTTCAATTTTCATAAAACAATTTTAAAACAATTTTTTTCTTTATTTATTTTTTTTTTGTCGGATTTTTTATTTTATTTTTTATTCTTGAATTTAGTTTTGAAAATTTTTATTTTTTTTATTTTTAGAGAGCAGAAAATTAAATGCCTTCTACTTTCCAGCTGCCCTCTGACGCACGCATTACACAGTCCCTCTCTGTGCTTAAAGTGACTCCCCCCCCCCCCCCCCCCCATTTTGGCCTTCTTTTTCGCGATTTTGGAACATCAAACAAAATCACTCCCCCGTAGATTACATTCTTTTCTAGGGTTTTCAACGATCATTTTCTGGTAATTTCTTACTCAAATTCTTGATTTTTTATGCCGAGAGAAGTTAGTAAAAGAAATAACAATTATATTTTGATGCTTCAATTCATATTAGGTTTTAGGTTTCTCAAGTAATATAGAATCATATCTTTCGAAAAAAAAAGTAATATAGAATCTTCCATTCAATTTTTAATGATTCACAAATTCAGGTTGTATTTTTCTCATAAATCGGGTTGAATTTTTCTGCTTCTCTTTCTCTTAGCATCAGCATAATTCATGTGTTGGTTTCTTCTGTGCATTCTTCTTCCGAATTATTCTTTGCAAGTTTGATGGGGCTAAAGAACTTCTTCTAATAAGATAGCCCACTAAGAGATAACTAAGCATGTAAAAGGATCATTGATTGTCATCTAATTGATGGTTATTGTTTAGAAATTTTTACTATCTATTATTGGGTTAATTGTTTGTACTGTTTAGGGATTGAAACCATGTTTGTTGCTTTATTTCTGGTGCGTATATTGTACAATGCATACTGTTTCTCATAGAGATTTAATGAGCCTCTCAGCATGAGATTGGGAAGATAAACAAGTGCAACTTATTACTGATTTTAAACAAGAGATATGATGCAAAATTTAGTGAACAGGTATATGTCTTCATAATTCTTGAAGACTAGCTTCAATGTTGTTTCTTTTCGAAGTTAAAATATTTGTTTTCGGGTTGTTTTGTGATAGCTCCTGTATAAGGGTACTTCAATACTAATTCTTCTGTTTCTCACTTGCTAGTCTGGAGATCCTGAGGTTTTTTTTTTGCTTATTATTCTTTTTCTGTCTGTGCAAGAATAGGAATTACAATACGAATGGAGTAGGTCAGGCCTGTTCTGTTTCCCAAGGTAATAAAATGAAGAATCCTGAAAACAATAAAAACCATTACAGTAAGGATGCCATGCTGGGGTGTGAGCTTTGGACAGATGGCCTTATTTGTGCTTTTGAATATGTTCGAGGCTCCCGAAAGTCAACTAGACCAAGATCACAGTCAAAGATGCAGAGCACACATCAAGTAGACAGTGGAAATCTAAAGAAGATAGTGCCTAAATATGGATTAACTGAGGCTTCTACTCCAAAAAGAAATGGGAACAATTCATTGGAATCCAGTTCTCTCATTGACCTTAGGGCTCACCACATTGCTCCTTTGGATGATAATACAGATAGCCAGACTTCTGAACTTGATACTTTCCATACCATGGAAAGATCTGTGGAAAGTCATTGGGTTCCAATTGGATGGGCTAGAATCTCTGAACTCGTCCAAACAGTGCAAGTTGACGCTGGGTGGTCCTCACCTTATGAATTCATGGATGATGAAGATGACCTTACTGTTGCAGATTTGGCAGCTCCTTATTGGGAGCGACCAGCTGGTCCCACATGGTGGTGCCATGTGGCTGCAGGTCACCCATCTATCGATGCGTGGCTAAAAAATGCTCAGTGGTTACATCCTGCTGTTAGTATTGCTTTGAGAGATGAAAGCCGATTGATAAGTGAGCGAATGAAACACCTACTATATGAGGTAGATTGCTTTCTTAAAATCTGAATTTGTTAGCTTGATAGGGTGAATGTGTTTCATGATTGATCTGATAATCTATTGTTTTTTGTAATGATTGTTAAAAGTACAATTATGGTTCAGATGTGTAATACCAGGCATGTAGTGCAAAGACTGGTTGCATACTGTAAGTAATCTCAGTACTCCATGAATCCAAATCAAGGAAATCTAATGAGCAATGTTTTAAAAGACAAAAACTTTATTCCAAGTGGAGTGAGGATTATGTTAAATATAGTAGGGTGTCATATTGTAGAATGTAGATCGTATCATTCAAATAAGATGATCTTTAAGAATTTAAGGTGTCTGTGACTAATGCATTTAGTCAAAGTCCTCAGAAAAAATGTTCCTACATGGACTAAATTGCTAATGACCATGATAAAGGTTCGTGAAGGGAATTCTTTCATAATTAACCTCCATTGAGAGCTGTTTCAATTGTGATTTTCTTTTTTCAACTCTTCATGAAATTGGGTATTGTTGGATTGCTGCCTATGCTTTATATGATCATACCTTTTACAGGTCCCAGTTAGGGTTGCTGGAGGGCTATTGTTTGAGCTGTTGGGGCAATCAGTTGGTGATCCATTTGTTGATGAAGATGACATTCCTGTTGTTCTTCGCTCTTGGCAAGCACAAAACTTTCTAGTATCCGTTTTGCACATGAAAGGAACTGCATCGAGCATAAATGTGTTGGGCATTACAGAAGTTCAGGTTTGTTCATGTTTGACAAGAATCTTTTCAGTGTCCTTCATTCTATTGGGGAAGATTTGGTTCATTATGCTAGGATGGATCAGATTCTTGTTTAATATTTGGTTGATATATTTTTTCTGGTCTGGTCCAGGAACTTCTCTTTGCTGGGAGTAATAATACACCAAAAACAGTGCATGACGTTGTAGCACATCTAGCTACCCGCCTTGCTAGATGGGATGATAGGTGAGGGAAATATTTTAATACTTCATTAGTTTAACCTATGTAAACCTCCCTATTGTCTCTAGATGCTTGGGTGCAATTTACCTTTTGTTACTAATTGATATTTTCTGCACAAAGTTTGTTGTTGCAACGTGCAGAGCGTAGCTTCTGAACTTATATGTGAACTCTGAGAAATTCTTTCGTAAGAACTAAAATAATGGTAATGGTACAAATAGAAATGCTTTTGGGAAATCTTGAATTTGATTCCTTGGCTTCGTTGTTGTAGAATGTTAGAAAAATTGGGGGCATCTTTTCTTTTTTGACCAAGGGGAGATTTGGGAGAGTGTTGGATAGGAGAAAAGTAGCATAAAAGCTACTGGGCCACTGGGGTTGATACATTTGATGTAAAGTTTACAGGTACAAGATGAAGCTTCCTTCCTTTAGGAGTGTCCATAAGTATAAATTTTTGGCCCATCATGCTAAAAGTTTACAACTGAACCAATCACTATCTTTGCATTATTTGGTTATGTAGTTGCGTATTGTCAAACCAAGTGCTTCTTAATATTATTTTATTTGGACTATGAAAGTTGAAGCTTGGATGAGGAAGTGTGCCTTTCCAACGGCTATGACTCAATTGATAGTTTCAACATCTGAGTGATCTTTAAATTTTTGTATAATTTCTCCATTCAAGTAGTCATAGCATGATCCAATTAAGATTACAAGAGCAGGGTGAATTTTCAAGTGGTCACAAGTTTATCACGTCTTCTGAATCACCTTTTGTATTTGTTTTGTTCTAATCATTCTGACTTCCTTTCCTGAAGACAATTCTTGAGTTACATACATATTTAGGATTTCTGTACCCTATGGAGCCTCTTTACAGTTGTTAACTTGCATACAATCATTAACAACTATAGAGTGCCCTCTCAGCCTTCAGACTCATTTCTCCTCATTTACAACTAGAATGGTGTCAAGCTCCCACTGCTTGATTCATGTAATTATGGATATCTATGTCTTCTACTTCTACATATAAAAAAATTAGTACAGTGCTTTCAAGTCAGTTATTGCTAGGTTTACTTGATTGTATAGTTCGCTCTTGTATATTTGCCTGCAATTATCTTTCTAATTTTATGTCGTTAGGTTAGTGGTTCCTGTTTTTTTTTCTTCTCTTTCTTCCATGTCTATTTTTTGAATGAAAAAGGAAAATGTCAACTAGTGTTTAAGCAGTGTATAGGTGACGGTCTTTTCACGAACTTAACGCACAGGCTTGAAAACTATCGTAATTACTCGCTGAATTTCAGGGTAGCAAATAAAGAGTTAGTTTTACTTATAAAAAGAAAAAGAAAAAGAAGTTAAACAGCTAGTTTCAAAAGCAAAGAACAATTTAATTATAATCTCTTGTAGCTTTTTTAAGTATACAGGAGGTATATCTCACGAGCTAAAGCAATTCAATCTAGAAAAAGAAACGTAATGTATTGCCATCATTGAAACAACAAGAAAAAACATGCAAACTTAGGTATAAAATGCTTCACTAAGCTCTAAAATAGGGGGCGCATATTTGCTTTCTATAAAACCTAAAAAAGATAGCTTTTTCCAACTCCAAACTACAGAATAAATTGATTCACGAATCAGGAGCACCTGAATTTGTGAGTACAATTTCCTTATTTAATTAGGAGTGTTAATTGTAGTACCGTTACCCAAGGCTCTGATTAGGTCAGATGTGAGTGCTGAATTAGATTAGAGGGGGGTGAACACGTCTTATGGATAAATTACCGTTAATCCTTGTTTAAAATGAGTTAATTAGTTGATTAAATGTCTCAATTATATCACAAAAACACATAAAACGATAATTAAAGTAAGGCAGATACAGTACTTTTTTAGTGGAAAACCCTAAACATGAAAAAACCATGGGATCTATTCCGGGTAGATCAAAATCCACTAAATGATAAAGATGTTACAGACTAACTTGCCAGTCTCTTACCCAAAAATCACGTATTGCCTCCTGACTCATACTTATTCAGGATCTACCTAAATCCTCCAGCCACTGATCCATCAACCAACTTGCTCCTCTCTATCTGCTTTTCTATGAACTTACTGATATCCAATAACTAGTGATGTCCGATCAACTTGTTCTTTGCAAACCACCCAGTTGATGTTGTGTCTCATAGTTTCAATCAACTTCTTTCTTTGATTCTCTCAATCACATATGGTATGGTAGTCTGTTAAGAACCTCGGAATCATTCTCAAAGGCCTCTCTCACTGAAAATATTAATTCATTCAACAATATGTATATTGTTATAAGCTTTTGTGAGAGATACTCTAACCCCACATTTATAGCCAGTGTAAAAGACACGTAAAGTATGGGAGGTCAAATCCTTTTAGAATTCTGTTTTGAGAGTGTTTCCAGAAATAAACCTCTGAAGGGTTTGATCGATCAAGGTATCGGTTTGCTGCCAAGCTGCTTGATTGATAGACCAATCATTTGAAGCACACTGGATTTCAATAAAAGATTTTGGAAAAAATTGATCGATACACCTATTAATCAAAGTCTAAAAAAAAAAACCTGTTTAAAAATTCAATACCTTAAAAAAATGCATTTGTCAAAAACAAGTTTAAAGTATTTAGAGCCTCACCATGATCAAAACTAGGCTGTCAGTGATCTAAGGTCTTTCCAAGTCAAATTACCTGTGCCCTGAACTTGTGATTGAGGATACAGATTTCTCGCCATATTCTTCACAAATCTCGTCTTTATAGTCTTCGACAGTTATACTCTTTATGACTCATGACACTTGCACGTTACAACCAAGGTTTTGGAGTAGGAAATTGCCAGCACATGACACATATACCTGACAAGGAGGTTTATGTGGTGGTTTATATATATATATATATATAGGCACACAAACAAATTACTGATTGTGATGCTATGGTAGGTTAATATGTCATTTTTCTTTGAAACCATTGCTATGTTTCATTGTTATCTTTCGTTTATTGAGTGTGGTATGGTATCTCTACAACCAACAGCTGGCAACACATGTACATTCATCAATTACTCTTATACTTGAACTATCATTAATTCTTATCAACAATTTTTGGCATAATATCATTGAACCACAGAGAATTTCATCACTTTCTCCTTTTGTGATTTTTATATGTTAGATTATTCCGGAAGTCCATATTTGGGGCAGCTGATGAAGCAGAACTGAAGTTTATGAACAGGTACTTTAGTACACATGCAGCCAATTTCTTCTTCTTCTTCTTCTTCTTCTTCTTCTTCTTCTTCTTCTATTAGAAAGTTTCTAACAGACACTATGCGATGAGTAGGAGGAACTATGAAGACATGAATCTTTTCAGTATAATCCTGAACCAAGAAATTAGAAAGTTATCAAGACAGGTAATATACTTCATCCTGCTGGTATTTGATTAATTTCAAGGAGAAGGGCACTATTTGTGTATCTAATGAATAATAGATTGTAGCATTAAAACAAAACACGAGGCATGCTTTTGAATGATGAAGATACATTTGCATGCCTTGGAGAAGGCGGCCTGGACATCTCAATTCATGTACTTATGACCTATAGTTTTTGTTGTATATAATCTAAAATAAAGCTTCAATTAAACCAAGCTAAGTGAGCTATATCCGCCACCAAGGAGTGTACTTCCTTGCCTTATGTTCAAAATCATGAGAGAGAGAGAGAGAACAAACATATTTTTATATATTTCTTACTAACCCTAATAAGCTTATGTAGGCTTATATAAAGGAAACAAGACACACTAAATAACACAAGGGCCCTACCAACTATATGTAATTACATAATGACCCAACACACACACACACACACACACACACACACACACACACACACACAAAACATTCTAACACTCCCCCTTAAGCTGGAGAATATATATCAAATAATCCCAGCTTGGAACAGATAGTTTTTAACTTGTTATGACCTAATGCTTTGGTAAACATATCAGCTAATTGATCTTCAGGCTTCACAAATGGAGTAGAGATGCTCCCACGTAATATCTTTTCTCGAATGAAGTGACAATCAACTTCAATATGTTTTGTCCTCTCATGAAACACAGGATTTGATGCAATGTGAACTGCTGCTTGATTATCACAGAACAATGGAGTAGGAGCTTCAACTGTCAACCCAAGTTCTTTTAGAAAATGTTGTATCCATGTCAACTCACTAGTGGTATGGGCCATTGCCCTGTACTCAGCTTCAGCACTAGATCGAGCTACAACCGTTTGCTTTTTACTTCACCATGTAACAAGATTTCCTCCTACAAATGTGCAATAGCCTATAGTAGATTTCCTTATCTGAAGGAGAACTAGCCTAATCGGTATCTGTAAAACTTTCCACCTTGAGATGACCATTTGATTTATATAGTAACCCAAAACTTGGAGCTTGCTTGAGATATCGAATAATCCGAATAACAGCAATCCAATGTGGCATTCTAGGGGCTCCCATGAATTGACTTACAACACTAATTGCATATGAAATATCAGGTCGAGTGATAGTGAGATAAATTAATTTCCCAACAAGGCGACGAAATCTGCCCGAGTCATTAAATAGATCACCCTCATCAGACACAAGTTTGGTATTTGAATCCATAGGAGCATCAACTGGACGACCACCCAACATACTTGTTTCTTCTAATAAGTCCAACACATATTTTCGTTGGGATAAGCTTATACCCTTCTTGGATCTAGCAACTTCAATACCCAAGAAATACCTAAGTTTACCCAAGTCTTTAGTGTGGAATCGATATTGCAGAAACAACTTCAACTTAGCAATGCCTTCAGAATCATCACCTGTGATCACAATATCATCTACATACACCACAAGAAATATGAAGCTAGCTTTAGTACACTGGTGAAATACCGAATGGTCGGTCTGACATTTGTTAAGACCAAATTTTAATGCCGCCTCAAAGAATTTTCCAAACCAAGCCCGTGGAGATTGTTTCAATCCATACAGGGCCTTTTTAAGGCGACAAACAATGTAGAGATACTCCCCCTGAGCAACAAACCCAGGTGGTTGCTCCATATAAACCCCTTCTGCTAAGTCACCATGTAAAAAGGCATTTTTAACATCTAACTGAAACAGAGGCCAATGTCTATTAGAAGCAAAAGAAATCAAAACACGAATAGAAGAAATCTTAGCAACTGGGCAAACGTCTCATCATAGTCAATACTGTAAGTCTGGGTATAACCTTTGGCAACAAGACGTGCTTTTAAACGCTCAACGGACCCATCTGGAAGATACTTCGCAGTATATACCTAGCGACAACCTACAGGTTTGGCACCTGGAGGTAATGGAACAAGATTCGACGTGCCATTCTGATGCAAAGCATCCATTTCATCTTGCATTGCTTTCCTTCAGCTTGAATCAGACAAAGCATCCTGCACAGTCTTAGGAACAAATGTAGTAGACAACTGAGATGAAAAACATGAGAAGGATGGCGATAATGAATTATAAGAGACATAATGAGCAATGGGATGATTAGTAACACACGATCGAGTACCTTTGTGCAATAGGCAAGGAATCAGACACATCGGATGGTGTTGGATCCAAAGACGCTGAAGACGACAGAGGAGGCATGACAGCAGACGGCTTTGGTCGTTGAGTGTACACCTGTAACGGGGCAGGCAAAGGAGATCTAGGTTGAAGAGAAAGGGATGGAAGATGAATCGCAGGAAGAGGCAACTCAGGAGTGATATCAAGAAGTGAATCAGTATCTGAAAAATATGGGATGGACTCACAAAAAGTTACATCCGTGCTAATAAAGTACCGTTAAGAAACAGGACTATAGCAGCGATAACCTTTATGAGAACGAGAGTATCCAAGAAATACACACTTTGTGGCACGAGAATCAAAACCAAGACCAAGATTAACTTCCGAAAAAAAAAAAAACGAGGACCAAGATTGTGGACATAACATACACATCCAAAAACGCTAGGAGTAAAAGAAAACAAGGGAGAATCAGGAAATAAAATAGAATGTGGAGATTTGCCATCTAATACAGAGGACAGCATACGGTTAATAAGATGACAGGCAGTAAGAACAACATCACCCCAAAGCTGTTTAGGCATACGCATATGAAACAAAAGAGCACAGGTTACTTCTAAGAGGTGTCGATTCTTATGTTCTACAACTCCATTTTGTTGAGGAGTATAAACACATGAATTTTGATGAATAATTCCTTTATCACTAAAATATGTATCAAAGGGGGTTGAAGAATATTCCTCAGCATTATCAGAACGTAGAATACGAATTGGGCATCCAAATTGAGTTTTGATTTCTTTTCGAAATTTTTGAAAAATTAAAAATAGCTCAGAACGATCTTCCATTAGAAACAACCAAGTCAGGCGAGAATAATCATCCACAAATGTCACAAAATAATGAAATTTATTGATTGAAGAATGCTTTATTGACCCCATACATCTAAATGAACCAAATGAAAAGGACTAGAGACTTGATTATTTACCCAAGACTTGAAAGACACGCGATGGTGCTTACTAAGTTGACAAACTTCACATGACAAGAATTTCAAATGACTAAGACTAGGAACTTGACTAAGACTAGGAACTTGAAGTGATGGGTGACCAAGACGACAGTGCCACCATGCCCCGTATCAATCGTCTTCTTCGTCTTGAGATCCTGAAACACACATGAAGTAGGATAAAATGTAATAGAGCACTAGAGAGATTTAGTAAGCTTACTGATAGACATTAAATTAAAGGGAAACTGAGGAACATATAAAACAGACGAGAGAGACAAGGAATCACTAAGTTGAGTTGTCCCCAAACCTGAAACCTTAGTGGATGAACCATTAGCAAGAGTAACACTTTGAGAAGGAGGTACATAATTAAAGTCAAATAGAAGAGAAGAACATCCAGTCATATGATCGGATGCTCCAGTGTCTATGATCTAAGGACTACGAGTGGAAGACAATAGACATGTGTGTGAGTAGCTTACTGGGCAAAGGTTGCTGTGGAAGATGAATTAGATGCTTGCTTATAAGACAAAAACTGAGTATACTCATCACGTGGAACAGGGACTGTATCTGATTCAGTTACTTGGTGAGATCTAGAAGCAACATCATTCGAAGAGGAGGAAACCTGATTTGCATAACTAGATGGTTTGCCATGAAGGTCCCAACAAAAATTCACAGTATGATTAGAAAAGCCACAATGAGTACATTTTCGTGATTCCCTGCCACGGCCACCAAGTGAGGAGCGTCCCCCACGACCTTCACAGTAAGCATTATGTTCATCCTTTGAGACTACCAATGTTGAACGCTCACCACTCTGTCCAGTATTCAAATTTGAGGTGTCGCTGGCAAGTGTAGCGCGCTGAAGTCGAGAAAACACATCAGCAAGAGATGGAATTGTGGGACTGCCCATAATCTGTGCACGAAGAGACTTAGATGCTGACGACAAACCAGTAAGAAAACGGACAAGAAGTTTTGATCTAAACGAATACGGTTTTTGTTTGGTCAATAACTAAAAATCCAAACTATTGATTAGTTGGTGAGAATCGCGGCTCAATTTGGATGGAAAATCTATTTCTATATTTTATTCCATATTCGTAATGATTTCAAAATATATAGTTTCAAACTATCCTTTCGGATAAAGAATGAGATTTCTGTACCTAATATGCACTCATTAAGATTGAATTCAATTAACAATTAAGAAATCTCATAAAAAAATATAGTCACTTTTTTCCTGGTCAGGTTAATAAAGTCATGAAATATTTCGATTTATTTATTTCTTATTTTACATAGAATGGATTTATTAAAGTCCTCGCGTTGTTGTTGTATACTTCGAACATCGGCAGTAATGGGCTAATACGTATTCTGCTCCTCACAGACTCCCATAACTTTGGAATAATACTCTTCTATACTGTGATTACCTTGTTCAAGATTGAAGTACTGCTTACAGAGCTCATAAACACGGGTGATATTACTTGTCCCAGAATACAATTGCTTCAATCTGTCCCATATCTCCTTGGCAGTATCCAAATAAAGTAAAGTTGAACTAATTTGGGGTTCAATACTGTTTAACATCACAGAGATGATCTGAGCATCGTGCTTTTCCCATGCATCAAAAGAAGCATTAGTTTCCTTGAGTTTATCTTTAGTCAGATGAGTAGCAAGACTTTACGTTTGAGAAAATTGCAACAGATTTAGCTCATAATATGTAATTCTTCCCATTGAGTTTAACTGAAGTCATGGGAGAATGAAAACTGGATGTGGGAGAAAGCAAATCTGAACTGGATGTCATGTTGAACCTAGCAAAACAGAGAACAAAAAAAAAAGCGCAGAATTTGTATTCTGGCCGAACCTGGAAAACGGGCCGGATCTGGGCAAACGGGCCGAATTTGAAAAATGAACCGGCTCTGGGCAAACGGGTCGGATCTGCGCTATCCCGGTTTTAGTAAACCAGGGTTGGAATAGCATAACCGTGTAGCCAAACACGGGTCTTCTTCTTCACATCTTCACAAACGCCGGTGAACAATGCAGCGGAGACGATGGCGACTCAGTCACAAGCAACGGCCGAATCAATAAGCAGTGACCTCTGCAACTTCCGGCCAAAAAACGCGAATCGATGAACCTCACCTCTGCAAATCAAGACGGTAGATGTCAGCGAGCTCGCTGACAACCAAAGAGGAGCTGCCGGCGACAGCGAACGAGGCAAAGACACCAACACCACAATCGCGATTCCGATCTTATACAAGAACAGCACAATCACAGACTCTCACACCCATGAATTCGTGTAGCTTTGATACCATGTTCAAAATCATGAGAGAGAGAGAGAGAGCAGACATATTTCTGTATATTTCTTACTAACCCTAATAAGCCTATGTAGGCTTATCTAAAGGATACAAGACACACTAAATAACACAAGGGCCCTACCAACTATATGTAATTACATAATGACCCAACACACACAAAGTAGGAGCGATACTTAGAATATGTTAAAATGAGCAATTAAATTCAGATAATTACTCATCAACATATTCTATGGTGCATGAGCAATTAGCAACAAGAAGTCAAATTGGTAAGGTAAAATATTATGCTTTATAGTGCTAAAAAACCCTCTGGTGAGGTGCAGATTCTCTTATTATTTTCATGGAATTCTGTGGCAGTATTGTCTTTACTCAAATAGTAATTTTATTGAAACAGAAGATTAACATACTCATTTCTGGCAAATTATGTGAAAAATGCACTGATCCTCTACTAAATTTGGATTCTGACAACTTGTTTGTTCTTAAATGTGTAAAAATTTATGTCAGGAAATGCTCACTCGCTACATCTAGTCTACATGGTAGCATTTCACCCATATTTTTTTAACCCTGAAGTTCCCTTTTTCATGATTTAAATTTCTTAAATAATCAGCTTTGTTAAGTAATCAAGTGATGGCATCCTTGCTCAGCTTTGTTATTCTTGATCAGCACTTTTTTTTCAGCTTTGATCATACCTCTTTCTTGATCTGCTAGTTCTGAACTTTTTGGGTTCATAAAGCATAATTATCAATCACTTCATCTTTTTAAAGATCGAAAATGAAATAGGTTACTGTCAGTTAGCCAAGTCTTACCTATTTTATGAACTTGGCATGCCCATTCATTTCACATTTTCAAATTCAGGTTATCAGAGTGAAATGGTCACTACATGCGAGAGAGGAGATTGTTTTTGAACTTCTCCAACATATGAAGGGAAATGCAGCAAGAACTTTGCTAGAGGGATTAAGGAAGAATACAAGGGAAATGATTGAGGAGCAAGAAGCAGTTCGTGGCCGCTTATTTACCATTCAAGATGTCATGCAGAGTACGGTGCGTGCATGGTTGCAGGTTTGTTTAAAAACACAGCCTTATAGGGGTATTTAAGTATGCTTTATCTCTTTCTTTCTTTTTTCTGATAAAAATATTGTAATGGTTATGTGGCTAATCATTCACTATATTTTATTCCTCTTCAAGATGTATGACTTAATTTGGTGAAAGACACGTTGACATGTTTATCACAAGGATAAAATGGTTAAATGTCAGTAGTATCAGCTCAGAAAATAATCAATACATTGAGTATGTGAAGAAAAAAAAAAAACAAGACTCTATTGTGCTTTTAGTTAAAGGGAAATGTTTTAACTGTATGCGTTACTTTTTATGTTAATTTTTTTGCCATGTGAATGGTTGATGGCAAGTTTTTTTTTTTTTTTTTTCCCCCCTTATCACCTTATGATTATTGGCTGTTTAATTTGCAAATTTATGAAAGAATGGGCCGCCTTCACTTACATGAGGCAACTCTAATAATGAAAATACCTCATTTCCCAGTATTTTGTACAAAGGACAACTAATTGCTGAGACATTGCTTTTTGCCTGAAGCCCAACTCCCAAGTGACTATTGTGTGTGTTTGTGAAATTATTGGCTTTGGCATCTTACAGCTATATCCTTGTAATCAAAATGCAATATATGGAGGATAATTCCTATTAATATAATTGTATTGCTGATCTCTCTCTCTGCGTGCACCCCCAACATGTGTGTGTGGATCTGTGTGCGCACACATGTGATGCTGGCAAAAGCAACATATCTATTAGCAACATTGTGGTTTTCATCTTTTTAGCATGGATTTAATTTTTGAAAAAATGTTAATTTGACAAGTTCATAACTCCTATAAATTTCAGGATAGAAGCCTCCGGGTTACCCATAATTTAGCTGTCTTTGGAGGATGTGGCCTCGTTCTATCTATCATCACTGGGCTGTTTGGTATCAACGTTGATGGGATCCCTGGATCTGATAACACGCCTTACGCATTTGGTCTATTTGCAGCCCTCCTCTTTTTCTTAGGAATTGTGCTAATTGCAGTTGGGTTGCTCTACCTTGGGTTGAAAAAGCCCGTAACTGAAGCGCAGGTTGAAGTTAGGAAATTGGAGCTGCAACAGTTGGTCACAATGTTTCAGCATGAGGCAGAGACTCATGCCCAAGTTCGTAAACCCGTTCCTCGGAATAATTTGACCCCCACTGCTGCCGATGCTTTTGTAAGTGATGCAGATTATATTCTCATTCACTGACCACACTGTAACTCTTCAACTGCATAATTACACCATGCTATAATAATTGCTTCACGGAATAATTGTAATTTTCTTTTCTTTTACTTTCTTTGTTATATATATATAGACGCACACACCCGATATTTATTATTTTAGGGTGTGGGGGATAGTCCTGATAAGACTGGAGCCCACAAGTAACACAGAGCACAAATGGAAATCCATGTTGGGGGGGGGGGGGGGGGGGGGGGGGGGAGAGAGAGCCACCGCAATAATCATATAATAACTTTTATTTTTCTAGAAAATCATCATTCCTTCCGATATATTATTGATGCTCTTGTCAAATCTTATGTAGGCAAGCAACAAAATCAGGGTATTAAAGCCTATTGAGATTGAGTCTGATCATTGTTGAAGTATACCAAAATTAAACCAAGACTGGAAAATTTACTCCTGAGAATGTATTCAAAGCTCTAGTTATAGTATTTTTTTATTTATTTTATTTTATTTTATTTTTTTATGCCAATACATATGAAATGAGTTGGCCCCATTCATGTGAGATTAAGGCAAGAATGATCATGATGATTTGAGACGAGTTAAAATTGCATGGAATCTGTAAATCTTCTTGACTGTTCTAAGATGTAATCATGAAACACATATTTCAAGAATTTCAACCGCTATTGCATTTTATGGATAATGACTGTTCTTGTTGCTATTGCAATCAATTAAATGTGTGCAATATATCGGCCTTCGGGCCATTGTGATAGTTCAAATCCATAGAAGGTTAAATGCTTATTCCAGGACATGCTTCGTTGTCTTTCACGAAAAAAAAAAAAGAAAATGCTGCGTTGTCATGTTCGTTGACATGCATGTTGATATAGTATCATTCGATGCAAAACAGATTATGTCTATCATCGATGGAGTTGCATAGTTGTTGTCCAGTGGTGATGAGGTTTGTGGTTGATAAACCCCCACTATGCAACTCCATCAATGATAGCGCAGTAATTTAACATTTGCAACTAAAGACATCTACCATCCAAAGAGATGGTTTTTGGTGCCTCCATTTGGATTTTCAATTTTTGGCAGGAAAGCTTTCAATTGGGCTTTATTCATCAATCTATATTCTAAGATAACTCTCTTGATGGCTAAGCCTAACTCAAAATAAATTAGATTATAACTGGTCAAAATTTATATAAAATTTTTGCTAAAAAACTTGTACAAGGAACTGTGGTTTTCAACTACGATAATTACATTAAACCATAGATACTATAAGTAAATGGTTTCTTCAGAAACTCACAAAAATTCATGTAACGCAAAATCCAGGGGGGTCAAAGAAATTCTGTGTCTAATCTGATTTTATTTGAAGTCAATATACTTCCTGATATCCTTACCCAAATATATATATCAATATATGCCCGTGTGTGTGTGTATTCTTCTTAACATCCCTCCTAAAGTTAAATTCAATGGAGCAGAGAAATAATAAAGCATGGTTATTGCAATGGTGGACAAAGACAAAAAAAAAAAATCAGCAAGAATGTGTAAAAAAGCTTTCAAATTCGTATGTGTCAACAATGTTGTAGCCTATGTTGTTTAAGTTGCAAAATAGGGTGAAAGCTAGCAAACCTTTTGACATGACATAACATCATCCACTGAATTAAGACGGTAAACTGAAGCAATTTATCCTATGGGGAAAAAAAATGAAGCAATTTATCCGGCAATTCAACCAGCATATAGAAAACAAAATCAGAATGACCCGCTTTGCCCCTCCATCTTATCTTACTTCCCGTATATCATTTGAGCAGAGATCTCGTAAAATGTTCACGCGCAGTAGCCAATGCCTGACTTATAGTCTGTAAAAAACAAGTTTTCGCACAATGAGATTATTGGTTGTCAAAGGAGTGAAGTTGAACTGGATGATGGCATTCGTTTCCCATTTGTTTCACTATTCTTTTCACACTATTGGAAGGGCGTGGGGAAAAATACCTGTTCAGACAAAGGTGCTCCGGCATCGATGCTATGGCTTGAAACCTTCCCCGCAATAACATTTGCATCAGTTTCAAGAACAATTCTGCAGGTGAGGTAACAAGTATGAGTGAAATTTTTTCCCTTCAAGGTGACAGTGGCTGTGATGCAGGGTCTGAAACTGTGGGCTGTCGTTGAGGAGATATATAAAATCCAAAAAAAAAAAAAGATAGCAAAAGTGATAGATCTAATAATTGTGGTAATAACATTCTTAACTATAAAATTTTGATAGCCACCAGTTCTTAAATCACTAAGAAAAATAATATGATTAGTAGCTTCAAAGAGAAATGAATCCTTCCAGCACTAGATTCAGAAAGTGCTCGGTGCTAGGTCTCGCGTACAACAGCAGTAAGGAAATATTACGAAAGTAATTAAGTTAAAGACGGCCATCTATTTGTCACAATGATCTAAAATGGGATCTTCAAGACGCATAAAATTAGGCAGCCCAGTGAGCTAATCCAAGTTTACCACCGCATCATTTGAGAGTACTAATCAGTTAACCACTTTAGCACTTACCTATTGAAGACACATCAAAAGAAAAAAAAAAAAAAAAAAATCCTACGATCTTACAAGTGAATCTTTTTTTCTTAAGTGAACTCAATGAGCTCTCACTTGTTGGGTGTTATAATTATGAATTACCATCATCATTTAAATAAGGATGTCAAGATGAGGACAAGCAAGGTCCATAATCTGATCAGATAACAGTCACATTAAAAACTAATGACAATTTGCATTCTGATTTCTGAATTGTCGGATTACAACAATAAAAACAATGTCTCAGATAATTTTAGTTGGTGGAACATAATTTATGATACTCAGTATAAAAACCAACAAGGTCCCTAAATTCAAGCTTTAGTTTTATTTTAATAAAAATCCCAGGAATTTACCTACTTAAAAAAAATGCCAGTAATTCATAGATTTCAGCAAAAGTTGAAATGTTGATACAATGCCAACTAATGCCTGCATATACTTTGGAGCACCAAACTCCAATAATTTTGAGACGTCCACAGAGAACTAGTGCATGTTGAAGGCTAACTCTAATGCTTTAGTTAACTCTACAATGATGGAAGGCCGTGCTACCAAAGGGCATTTTCTTTATCTTCCACATGCTTTTCTTTATCTATAGCAAGTACCAAATACAGAACGCACTACTCGGAGAAATTACATCAAATCAAGGCAACGAAGGATTAATACGTAAAGTACATAGGAAGTATATTGCATACCCGCCATCAATAATTTCATCAAGGCATAAAAGAATGAGGTCCAAGTTCTCAAGTGCCTCCTTCTTGTCCACATTACCCCTGGAATGAATGCAATTAGACAATAGTTCTACAAAAAGTAAAAGATGACAACAGCTTAATTGCAAAATACCTCAGGAGAAGACCAACCGCATCAAAGAATCCCTGGAGAACAGTGGATAATATCATCTCATTTTCTTCTTCACCCCCAGTAACAAAGAAGTGGAGGTCTTGAACAAACTTGTATACAACAATGTTGCTATCAAACATCACTATCTCCGCTGCAGATGAAATAACAATGAACACAATAGGTAGGATCAAGTCTTAAGTTAACTCTTATAAACTCGCCACATTGATCACTTCAAATTTTTATTTAGGGTGAAGAAATAAAACTAAATACTGGAGAATTTTATGAACAATGGGATGCTCTTTCACAATTCTAATTAAATAACTTGCACATGATTAACATTGTATTTCTAAATGAATCACTCTATTTGCCAACTAACTCCACCTTAAAGTTTCAATGTGTACCAACAATATGTAGCACTGAAACAGGAAAACTATGCATACTCCAGTGCTAATAATTCTTTTGCAATCATATAAACAATGCAGAAATTATGCTTCTAGAATGATGAACAGTTGCAACAGGCGATCGGACTCAATAAGCCCTATAGCAGCTAATTGCATCTCTGCTGTTGTCATTATAAATGAGCTAACAAAAGAAACTTACTTTCTCATACACTATAAATTGATATCACTAAGTAAATACTCAAAAGCAAGAATCTGACGTAACCACACACATAAATGCACCTGCTCTTCAATGTGCTAGCACCACTGGCAACTGAAAGTGACTACCAAGAGTTTGACAAGGATACATAGTCACATGTAAAAAGCAAGGCATATAAGGATTTTAACCTAATAGGAGAAAAGCCAACAGAATGGTCATTAAATAAATACAATACCTTCTGTCCGGGCATTTGTCTTTTGAGTTTTGGTAAAAACTGATTTTTCAAAAGCTTCCTTTGCACTATTTGTTTGCCAGTCATCTGAATAATACTTGACAGCAACACGTTTCCCCTCAGAATCCAGAAGAAGAATGTTTTTTACGGAAGGGCACAACTCCTACAAACAAGAAGTGTTCAATATACCAGCAAATTAATATCAATAAAATCCAAAGATGAACCAAAAGGATTATTAAGTAAAACCTTCCAGCAATAAGCTTGAATATCGCTCCTCAAGACCAAACAAATGATGTTCACAGTGGGTGAATACAAAGAACCTAAGAGGAAAGGGTTCCCGTTTTCTTTCCAAATCAATTGCGCAAAAAAAGAAAATAAAAATCTTTAATTCAGTTTGAGAATTGTTAGACTAGAGGTTTGAAAAGTTAAAATAACTTATCATTTTTTTTTATAAAACTAATATCTCTTATGGTTATATTAACTTGTATAGGGCAAACATAAATATATAAAAAATATGTGTGTGTGGGTCAGAAAAATTAGGTGTAGCACCCATTGGTGAGAAAATTTGACAGGGTAGACTTAGGTGGTTTAGACACATACATCGGAGACCTAGGGATGCGCCGGTCAAAAAAGGATAATAGTTGTAATAGAAGGTACGAGACGGAGAGGATGGCCAAAAATAACATAGGATGAGGTTATTAAAAATGACTTTAAAAAGTTATATATAGTAGGGAAAATGGCATGTGCGTATTCATTATATATTCTTGGAATTCACTCCCAAATTGAACTTTGAACTCCTTGTCATAATTTTTCTTTTTATACCAATAACAGGTTCTATTAAGGTCAAGTAGAAAATAATAACACTACTCAGCAAAGAACTAACAAACTGACACTAAAAATTTAAACCCACATTTTAAATATCTCAACCTTTTCATTCGCATTATTTTCAGTATAACAGAAACTCACTACAAACTCAACAATCAAGTCATCAACACAAAATTAGTTCACATAATTAGCAAATCAAATTAACAAACCAACTTTGGAATTAAGCATCAACACCACATAATTAGTTCACAAATTTTAGACCTAACTCCTGGGTCCAATCCAATGACCACAAACAAGTGCAGATCTTACCATGACCAACGAGATTGGGTCAATGAATGTAATCAACAATACAAATAAAACCCAAACACATCTAATAAACCCTAGAAGTCATAATGCAAAAGAACTATAAACAGATTTCAATTCAACTAATCTTTCCAAGTCTTCTAACAAATCAGAAAATAAGTTAAATCCTACAAAAATTGAAAAACAAAAAATAAACGTATCAATGATGTAAGATCGGTTGGAATAAACTGAGAAATGCATAGAACAATCAACAGTGAACAAAATCGAATGATTACATACGAAATCATAGAAAATTTTGATTGATTTTAGAGAGAGAAGTGAAAATCAGAAGAGAACTGACCATTGTGTCTGATTTTCGCGGAAAAAAACTTTGATAAGACAGCAAAACCTGAACCTTCGGGAAGAGAGAAAAGAAAGATTAAAATTTATATTGAAATACGTAGACCGTGGTCTGTATTTCATACGTAATAATTTATTAAATTACATTTTGACCCCTAAAATTTAAAATTGCAACGAAATACCTCGAAAGCACTTTTGTGTCGCATTAGCACCGCTTTAGGGATGGGCCGAATGCCGATGCTATTAAATTAGTATTAAGTAATCAAATTGAATTTTAGGACTTAATAAAAAAGTTATTTGGACTTGTAATTATAATTTGTGATAAACAAATTGGGATAGTAAGTTAAGAGAAACCTTAGAAATACAATTAACCAAAGTATATCACGAGTAGGGTTTAGCTAGTCTTATAAACATGCAAGAATCCTTTTTAAAGTAGTTCACTATTTCTTTCCGATCATTTTGTTGCAGTATTTAGCAGTTTTTTTTTACTATTGATCAGAAATTTAAAAAATATGATTAATATAATATCTCTTTTATATTAATTTTGGATATAAATGGATTGTCCCTTTCTCTTTTTCTTTCAAATCATACACGGATCATTTAAAAAGATGAGTAATATTTACAATTTCAATTTATTTAGAAAGACCAACAACCATGGTCGAGTAGTATTTTTTCACATTTTAAAATCAAAAGTTGTAGATTCAACAACCGAACAAAAAGTGAATATATGAATTTCCCGACTAGAAAAAATATTATAATTATTTAGAGAGATCTGGACTATTTTAAAAATAAATTTTGCATGGTTATAAAGCTGGCTAAACTTTACTTGTGATACCACTTTGGCCATTTTCCAAATCCAAGGCACCAGTTTGACAATAGAAGGTGTGAATTTACAAATGTCAAATAACCATTGCTAGTTGGGCCTATTATATTAATTGGGCCAAGTTCGTTGTCAGGCAACCAAAGCCCAATCTCTAGAAAGGAGCGAACCCAGCCATTTGCCGACCAAATCCGATCTTGCTCGGCTTTGTTTAGTACGGTCTCTATCTATTTCACTGTTCACAAACTTCGCCGACAAACTGCATATCAGATCAATCGATGATTCGTCTCGTTTCTCTCTCTAATTCTCAGGTTAGGTTATTTTCTCTCTCTACAGGACCTTCCACTTTCCCCTCTCCCTATCTCAACTCTATACACATGAATATTTATGTATATATGTGTATTGGCTCTAATTTTTGGGTTTGATTTCTTTAGGCGACGTTGATTTCATTGTCCCGAAGCATATTTGGAGCTCATGGACGGTACTGACTTCCAATTATCATTTCTTTTCCTTTATTATCTTTGAAATTGACATTTTCTTTTGAAGAAACGATCGTTAGTTGTTACTGATATTCAATGCTCATCTCATGTTGGATGATAATACGTATATGTGCCGTTCATCAATATTATAATAAAATGGCACGCGTGCGTGTGCACAATGGATCATGCTAATTTTATGGGGCGTCTTAGGATGTCCTTTATGTTTTGGGGCATTCAGAGTGAGTTTTTATCAGTGGCATTTGGGTATTGTTACTTAATTTATTCTTAATCAATGGTCAGAATTGAACCTGTAACTACCCTGCATATTGTTATTTCAAGTAATTATTTAATTTATCCTTTTCTTATCAATGGTTAGGAATTAGGATTGAACCCTTAAACTACCCTGCGTGTCTGTTACACTATATATATATATATTGGAACAACTAATTTGGCCGTGGAATCCATTTCACGGGATGGTTTTGTTCTTGTTAATGATAGAAAAAGTGATATGGTGTAAGCTTCATTCCACGGGTTTCCAAGTATACTCGTAGTGAATTTTTGTGTTGTAGAACGCCGAGCGACAATGGCTCACAAGGCTTTTTAAAATAAATGGAGCCTAGACCATTAGAATATATTTAGCAATCATAATATCGAGATAGGAGTTGATTTGAATTTTTCGAGTGGGGGATATTGATTGGTGCAGTGGTAAAAACTTGACCTGTTAAGTCCGAGAATGCAGGTTCTAGTCTAAAAGCAACCCTTTTGCATAAAAAATGCCAAAACTTAAGTTTATATTCAATCTCCCCCTCGCAAAATTCTCTACTTATGGAGAATATACACCCTCTTTACATCTTAAGCTTATGGAGTAGTTAGTTGTTAACATGGTATCAAAGGTAAGGTCGTGAATTCAAACTGAACCGAAACTGTGAAAATTATAATTGTTGCATGTGTTGTCAATTGGGCCATGCGACAGGGGCATGTTATAAGATATAAATACTTAAGTTAGGCCATCTTTAACAACTTAAAATTTTGGAGTATATATGTATTTTTTGCAGCAGCTTTTTAAATAGTCATGTTGTCTTCTAGAGATCTCATGATTATATGAATTGCACGACATCATGCATGCTCTCTGTAGTTGATTATTGTGATGATGTTAAGATCCTCCCATTATTATCGAGAGGTTTCAACTTGCGCAAATCTGGCCCCAATGACTTGTACCTGTCTTTCCCATTGTTCCGTACTTCTAGTATTTTCTCTGAATTTTCTGTAGTTATTTTATTTTATGAAGATTTTTGCATTTGCATACAGCTCCACTGCTCGAGTAAATGAGATCCTTCAGAACCATGTGGAAGTGTCATCAAATAGAAACATACTTAAAGAATTTAGAACATTTTGTACAGGCAAAGGTGCGTGTGGGTCTTTCACTGTTTGATATTTGATGAAGCAATTTAGTCCAGCAGGTGCAGCCATCTTGCATTCTAGCGTCAAATTTTATCTGCAAGTAACAATGTGCAACGCGGCACGGCCGTCTTTTATCATAGTTTCAGAAATTGAACATCCATTCTAACACTGAAATAGCCCCAAAGTCCCCCTTTGGATTTGGATCCAGTTTCAGGGTCCAGCTTACTTGTAAATTTTATTTGGGACGCTGTGAAATTAATTGATCACAATACATGGAAGCATTAAATCAATAAAAAGCATAAGTTCCCCGAACACCAAGCCCTTGGCATAGTGTTTTTTTTTTTTTTTTTTTTAATGAATCGCGAGAAGGCCCTTTCACTATTTTTATAAGTCCAGTAATCAGGCTGATCAAGAACTTGAAGAGCCCATTCCTCATAGTGTTGTTCCGTCCTGCTTCTTCTGTTCCAAGTCTTTGCTGGAAACAATTGATGCATAGTATTGATGCATATTTTTGAGCTTTGAAGTGTTTATTTGTGACCTTTGGGAACTGTTGGACTTGTTAGCACTGGCATGCCAGCTTAATATCTGTGTAGATGCAGAATGTCTTGAAGCTAGAGTTATAAGCTGCATGTGAACTTCATTAGCCAATCCACTCAGCTATTTTCATTCATAAAATTTGGAGGATTTTCAGCCATTGATTTTAGATTGATTCTTGTTTTACCTAACATGATCATATTTTCCGCTTTCCACCGTTAACCTGACCAACTTTTTTGTTCTGTGTCATTGGTTTAGACCGTCAAGGCAAGGATATTACCATTTGCAACAAATGGGCTGAAATAGGATTACTCTATTTTTTCCCCACTACCAGCTGAAAGTGAGCATTGAGGAACCATTTGAAGTTAGTGTCACTTTGAGTGGAAGAAGATTATATTATTTGTGTGATTTCATATGAACCATACGTTTTCTTTACGCACTTTTCAAAGCAAAAGAAAACTAGGATAGTAGGACGTACTTAAAAAAATTATAGATTATTAAGACTGAACTTCATCATATATATATATTTTTTTCTGATAAGTCTGGACTTCCTCATTTTGAGGACCATTTCTCTTTCTTTTTTGGTTAATCTTCTTTTAAATCCAATTTCATTGGAACAAATTAGAATATTACCCATCTTAGTTATTGTTTGTTACTCGGATTTAATCATCACTACCTTTGGTACTAGTATAGCTGATTAAAATGTTTTCTGCATGACCTTCAGCTAAATTACATTTTGGCTCTATAGTTGCTGCTAAGGTTCAATATTTATCTTAAATATGAATGGTGTATTGAAAAAAGAATTACAAGATATTAGGATTATGTCACACAATGCACAAATTAGATGTAGAAACAAAGGACAAAAGAGCAGCATGATATAGAACCCTGGGATCTTTAAGGACCACAGATTTGGCAGATACTGGACGCAGTCTAACAAGCAGAGAGCATTGTTGTTCTTCAGAACTCAGATTTCTTATCTTGAACATTCCTGTAAAACAATGTCTCTAAAATGGACCACGAGGATCGTCAAGCAAAAGAAGCTTGCAGTGTGAGACATAAAGATAAGTGGCTTTGTTGGCATTGACTGACCTCTAGAAAGCATCCTCTTTTCTCCACATATGCCTAAATATATATGTTTATACATAGACATATATATTTAAGGTAAGTTACCTAATATGGCTTTAAAATGTCTGAACCTTATTCTGGCTTAGTCAGTATTACTTCATCCAGTGTATTTCACTTGTCTGTTCCTGTTTGTTCGTGTTGCCAGATCTGTCTGCTAAGAAGTGCGTGCCATGCAACTCAGAGGATATGAGGCCAATGACTGAACAAGCAGCAAATGAGCTGATTCCACAGGTTTGTATTTTGGTCTATGTTTCATATATGTTCCCTTATTTGTATAAAGTTAATTTGCCTGATCTATCATGTGCTATTTAGGTACCTGAGTGGAATTTGGTAAATGAAGGAGGCACTTTGAAGCTGCATCGGTCATGGAAAGTCAAGAGTTTCAATAAAGGGTTGGAGTTCTTTCAGGTTGTTGCTAATGTTGCAGAAGCAGAAGGTATTTCACCTGCTAATATCAGATCATAATTCAACCTACGGGCCTGGAATAATGAGGGAAACTAGCAGAGGTGGACAAAGAATTTTTTATTTGGAGGGGCCATACTAGTTATGTAATAAATATTTAAAAAAATAATAATAGTAAGTAATATATGTTTCTTTACATAGGTGTCTTAAATATTATTTATAAACTAAAAGTATTTCCTAATTTATTAAGCTCACAAGATAAGATGAGAAGAAGGGGACAAGCAATATTTGGATTTTCTAGACATCTCTCTTTATAGGTCTTCCCCTGGAAACTAATTCCTGCCGAGTGAGAATTCCCATGTGCATCATTGTCTCCGATTATGAATGGAAATAATATAAAAATATAGTGTTTTTCTTGGATGGACATTGGTGTTATATAAGACCCTAACTTCTGATAACATGATTAAGTGAAGTAAAATGTTTGTTTAAGAGGGGCAGGAAGACTATAAACCACCTACTGCTTCATTGACCTGTTGTTAGAGTTTTGTGGGCTATGTTCTCCTGTTCATTTGGTATTCAGTAGGTGCTACCCCATTCAGTGGCAGTGTGGATGTCGATTGGGTAGGGCCTCTACCATTATGATTTTGGTGGTCCTTTGAACGAATACGAGAACAACATTCATTTGATGGAGTGTAATTCCCCATGTGGAGGTTGAGGCGTCTTGTGTTCAGCTCGTTGTTTTTTCGGGTCACAGAAAGTACTTTTCTTTTGATAGTTTCATTTATAGATTTTTTGGGGTAATATGAGAGTATAGTTTTGTGTAGCTTGCGTCTACATACTGTGGAAAATACTTTTCATTTGACAAAAAATACTTTTCCTTTGGCACCTTCTATCAACACTTATACTAATTGGTTTTTTTTATTTTTTATTTAAATAATGTCTGGATATTTCATATAATTTCAGTATATATACAATTTTATTATACGAGATTATGTGAACAAAATTGGGTATGGAATATGGATCGAATTTTCCAAAATCAATAGTGTTCTTGATTGATTCTTTTGCACAAATCCATTTCAATGTCAGAATGCTGGTGAACCACTTCAACTAGACATTTGATGCCTTAATTTTGAATTTGTGCTCTCACACAGAGTCTTCAAAATATAAATTGCATCTGTTTGGATTTTGTTTTGGTGACCAGTAATCTTGTTTTTGCAGGTCATCATCCGGATCTTCATCTTGTTGGATGGAACAATGTGAAAATTGACATATGGACCCATGCTGTCGGTAAGATTTTTATGTCATTGGAAAGGAACAATTTGCAAATTGACATATGGAGACATTCTGTTAGTAAGGATTTTATGTTATTGGAACCCTTACAATTTGCCATTCCTTCTTCATATATGTTATTGAACATTGCTGGTACTTTTCATGTACAAAATATATTATTTTGGGGTTATGTTACGAATTAATCTTAGATTAATGCTTAGAAACTGTATGCCCCTGGATTGTCCAGCAAGTTTAACAAGATCCCTTTTGGTACAATTAATAAAATCGTAACCATAGGCAAATCATAAATTCGTAAAGGGTTAAATTTCTTCTAGTCCAAAATTCTATTAGCCAGCCAATCGAAGTAGTCTGTCTATTCCAGATCCAACCTGTGGTTGAATAACTATAGTTTGAAAGTTCTTTACTGCATCATGGTTGGCCTTATTATATTTCTGAAGTATAACATGATCTACACTGCAGGTGGACTTACGGAAAATGATTTCATACTTGCTGCTAAGATCAATGGGCTTGACCTGCGGAACCTTCTAAGCAGGAAAGCTGTCAAGTGACTAGTGAAAACAAGTACTGCGTACGTCTTGTACATGTTAAACAATAGCACGGAATTGCAGCTTTGTGCTGCAATTTCTCTTGATATATATTGTCTACATGGAGCATCATCATGGATGTGATGTAGCTCTTTTCCCTTGTGAATGTGGTTGCTTCACTTAGCCTTTGTGCAAAGAGAAATTTACACTGCCACAGCATGATTTCCTTTCATTCAATTTACATTTAAAATTTTTAATTAGCATTTCATTCAATTTACATTTGGTATTTAGTAGATAGTTTTGCTTTGTGACGTCAGGCTATCCATTTTTTAACTGGTCTTGCCATTTGCACAACACCATAGGTTTAAGCCAATCTGAGGGTCACATTTTCATTCTCTACAAATCTTTTTTTGTACATGGTATTTCAACATCGTTATTATCATCATCTTTGCCTTTATCCTATGTGAGTGGGTTGGTCAGATAAATTCTCTTCAACAACATTGTGTATCTGCACAAATTGTTGAGACTTGTATGGCACCAAGGTGAGCCACACATGCATAAGTGCATACACATGGACACATTCATACACGTATATCCATTGATGCCAGTGAGGATGTTGGAAAGATAATTGGTGCATGAGCATGACAGGGTTTTGATTAGGCTCACCTTGCCCCGACTGATTCGCTTAATTTTACCAATTTCGTAAGAGGCATGGAATACAACATTACTCCCACTCTATCCTAATTTTTCATGCCTGACGACCGTTTTAGCACTTTCCTTGAACAACCTAACCTGCCTCCAGGTTTAAGATTATATATTTTAGGTCAATGGCTCTCTCTCTCTCTCTCTCTCTCTCTCTCTCGCAAGAATGATTCTTTTTTGTAATCTTCATAGAGCTGCATATGCTTATACAACATTTTTCTTGTTAGAAACTCAAGAACACCCTAAATTCAACACGTGAGATCCCTTCAGTCAGAAGAAATATTTTAATGTTCCTGTTATTTTGATGGCATGGTATTACTAACCAATTAGATGCTAACAAGTACTAACAGGGTTTATTAAATAACTGTACTTTTTTTTGTATGACAAGATATAATTGGTTATTAACACCGATGATGTGATATCACGAAATGTCTTTTTTAGTGGTGAAAAAATTGTCTCAACTTGTCTGAAAATTCTACACAATTTTTGATGAATTTTCATACTACGACGACTATTTGAGAATTGCCCTTGTTTAATGACATAAAAAGAGCAAAAGATTCAAGTCGAAAGAAGAGAAATAAGAACATTGTTGTTCATAATACATATTATTTTCCCCCCCCCCCCCGCAAGGATGATCCACATTGAAATCCGATAACCAACTTGCCTAAGAATCTTTTTGTTCGATAAGAATAATGATAAGGGTTAGATGATTTTTTTATCTACCTCATTTACTTAAAACAATTTTCAAAAAATAAATATTTAACAAATGACCAATATGACCAACCACAGCCAAATTCGGTGTTAATTCAAAAATTCTTTTTCGATTCCCTTATCATTTCTCTTATATTATAAGGAATCTCTCAGTTTTTTGTGAAAATGGTTCACTTTTTGTTACCATCTTTTTAAATGGAATCCACGCTTTTGACTTTTTAGTTTACTTTTTCATTACCCTTTTTTAATTTTTTAGACCACACATGCACTGCCTCCAAAGACTCTTTCATTACTATTACTTTTTTTTTTTTTTTTTTTTGGCTATAGATTTTCTAACAAATTGAAAATGAAAATATGTGTTCCACATATTTATTTAGGGTACAAACTACAACAACATAATCTAATTTTAATTGAAAATAATCAACAAAGGCCTAACAAAAATAAAATAAAATAAATAAGCAACAAAGGCCATCCACCTTGAACAGTTGAACTTGATTTCAGAAGACCATTTGTGGTTTTCCTTTCTTTCTACTTGGCACAATTTTCACATTCTCCAGACCTTTTTACACAAATGAGAACCTGCAAAAGAGCCTGATCCACAACAGATGATAAACATGTTGCTTCCTGGTTCAGGGCAAATAAATTAATAGTATAAAATAAGGGGAAATTTAGGGCTTTGAAGCTGGTGTCGATCTCCAACAGAAGCGCCTGCAAAAAGATCAAAATACACCCAAACTTGAGCCACAGTGGGAAGTTGAGCAAACAGACAAGTTATTAGGCTTTTGCAAATCTCATGCATCATGCCAGAACTTTCAAAAATTAAACCACAACATTCATTCTCAGAAAACCCTTATACCACTGGTATTGAACAGCCAGGCCATCAATTATATGAATTCTCAAATTGGGAAGTACAAGTGTAACTATATATCGACAAAACAAGTGTGGGAAATAACAGGTAATATGATTGAATTACAATGTTATCAAGATTGCCTTAGACGCTAGACGCTTGATTTGAGAATTGGATTAATGCAGATAAACTTGAACTCGAAGCACAGCATGACAATCACATAACTAAGCACAGCATGACAGTCAAATAACTCAGCGCACTTCGCACAAGCAAATATCTATCTTCCAACCAGTTACAATGCTTTCAGTCAATCCTATTTCCATGTCAAGGTCATAGTGCCTCCAAACTAACACTACACCCAACATAAATTACACAATTGTTAGAGACAAGCATGCTCTACTTATCTTCCACATAACCGGAACATAACAATCCTTTAGAAACCATTTCTTAAAAAACTAAAAAAGAAGTAACTTAAGTGATTGTTTGGTTTAGTTCTCTGAAAATAGTTTCAAAAAAATTTTAAACGCAATTTTTAGATAACCATAAAAGACTAACAAATCTTTTTTAATCTAAGGAAACTGTCACATAGACAAATTTACCTACAGCTTTTCGATTTTTCAATTCTCTAAAGACTACAAACTATTTTCAGAAAAAGGAACCAACAGGCCTGACTCTTGCTAATTCCCCGTCCCCACCCCCACCCCCACCCCCTTGATCATATCCTCTAATTCAAATGGTTGATTACAGAGAATTTAAGGAATAAGAAGAATATAAGCAGTAATTATAGTATGCAGAAAAAATAATTTTTTTGTCTAATAAATACTTGTTCATCAATCCCTATCTACTGTAGGGCCTTGGAGGACAGTGATTTACTGTGCATCCAGGAACATATAAATAAAATAAAAGCACAGTACAATAACCTGATTTTCCAACCCTTGCTTTTGCTAAAAGGAAAAACTTTTCTCTGCTGAGGAAACTCCGTCCACAATTACAATATCATTTCACATAAAGAGCGAAACGACAGTTAAAACAACAGCTAAAACATATCACTAGTCATCCGGAGGAATTAAAATGATATGGAGATAGAAGATAATCAAGATAGAGGAGGCAGTGAATTTGAAAGCAATGGACTACAGTTTCAGATTAGGAAAGATCTGAGTGAAGAATTCAAACAAACTTTGCTGTCACTGGAACTAATTTACCGAATGTCTACAATCTTGCATGGTAGAAACAACCATTTTGGAGAGATTTTATACCAGTGTCACCAAAGGGTAGTGATACAAGCGCAACCTATTCCTAACTGGATTATGCATTTGGATGCCATCTCCCCTACACCTGATAATTTGATTGTCTGAAGCTAAAATCACAAGGAAACTTTCATCTGTTTAGATTGAATCAAGGTTTTACTGGTGAACTTCGGAATGGAAATCGGAAATGAGTTTGGTTTAAAAGATCTTCATCATTGCTAACACACAGCTAACAGAATTTACCTTGTTGAACAAGATGCAATGGGCAAAACTTCACGAAAATGAACAGAAGTGGCAGAAATCATAGACGCGTACTTATCGAAAAAAAGAAAAGAAAAAAATCATAGACAGGGATAAGAGATCAATACGAAGTTCTATTTAATTAGTACGACCAAAGCACATTAGGTGAATGAAAGAAATCAAATTTTACAATCCTAAAATTTTTAAAAGTTTAGATTCATAGGTCAAGAGTTAACAATTCAAACAATTACTGTCATTTAAACGAAACTCAGATTACAATCATCAACCAAAAAGTGGCCGATCAGATTACAACTAATCTAAGCACATGTTCAATCAGATTGTGCAATGCCAATTCAATTCTACCCAAAAAATTTCAGACAAAAAGTAATGGAACTAACAAAGAACCAGTCATTACAAACCGTACTAAAACCATCAATAAAGAAACCAAATTACCTCAATCTGAGCCTGAGCCTCATTTGGACACTGGCTTCTGCAAAAGGGCAGTCAAATAAACCTCTCCATTCTTTACCCCACTCGAATCCGACTTATTGGCCACCGCCCATTTCACCTTCTTGTAGCCCAATTTTCCGATCAACGGCGTAAAAACCTTCCCAAGGTCAGCACTTTTGCTGAAAAAATGGTCCAACCAAAAGTACCCACCACCCCTCAACACCCTATCAATATCATAGAACAAGAACTCCATTGCCGTCACCGGTATCCACCGGTTGACTGCGTGCCCACACCTCACAAGATCCACAACGCCGTCGAACACCGGCAGCCGCTGCTGCAATGGCACGTGCAGCGGCACCACCCCTCTCAACGCCGCCGCCTCATTATACGGCGCACCCAAATTCATTGTAGTTGAAATCACAGTCACGTTTTGTAGCTTCATTTGAGCTGCAAATGTGCCAGTTCCACCACCTATGTCTAAACCCAGACGCAGAACAGAGTGGGTGGATTTCGCAATTTGAAAAATCTGCTGAATTGGGAGATCCAGATCTGACTTGTATGTCACGAATTTGGATTTTTCGACTTTCATGTCGAAACCCAGATCACCGTTGAAGCGAGAGAGACAAGTGAAGCTCTTACAGTTGTATTTAGTCCATATATTGGCATTATCAGGAAGAGAAACAAATGGGTTTGAGGGGAGAGAGGTGGGGGGTTTTGGTGGGGTTTGGGCGAAGCAACGACGGCGGGGAAGAGGGTGGCAGCCGCGAAGAATTAGGGTTTCGGCGAGGTCGGAATCGAGGGGGCAGAGAGAGTAGGGAGTGTAGTTCATGTACTGGTGGAGGAGGTCAGGGTGATCTCGACAAGAGGAGGCGATGGGGGCGATGCGGGTGTAGAGGAGGAGGTCAGATGGGATGGTGGGCTTGGTGGGTTTGGAGGTAGTGTCGGTGGTGGGACGGAGGCGCGTGAGATGGTTGATGGTGGCGCGTATCGTGTGTAGCTGTTGGATGAGGTGGTCAGGGACTGGTTGTGTTGTTGGTGTTGGTGGTTTTGATTGGATGGTGGTGGAGAGGTGGTAGAGAGAAAGAATGTTGGTGGACACCATAGCCATGAGGAGGAGCAGATTTAGACCCATTGTGTAACCCATTTCTCGTGATTTCTTGGTTTTTGATACCCGTTTTTGTGTTGCGTTGTAACTTGTGTTTGAGCTCAATTGGCTCTGCTTTTCAGGTGGCAGATCAGTGATGAGTGTGATATAAACACACACAGTCGCACAAATAAACACACATATATACCTACTACTCCGTAGTATATAATAGAGTCTGCGACAGATGTGCTTCATTATGCATGTTGAATGTTTAACTGACCGTTTGATTAAAACTTTGTGGGTCCACGTTATCACTAAGAGTCAAATACATGACTTCAGATTTTAGAGTCTCGAAGATCCAACGGTGGAAATATTATCGTCGTATGACTAGGGCCCACTGTAAATGTCGTCGTCTTCTTCTTTCTCATCCGTCATCTTCTTTATGATTAATGTATTATACAATAATGGATTCTGTTTGTATTGAAAGAGATGTATTATACTCGTATATATTATTCTAAAATGAAAAAAATATAGTTAAGGCGCGTGAATTGGGGGCTACTTGATTTATTAAACAACTTTTGATGAACTGTGCAGTAGGATTATTAACTACTATAGTCCATAGTTCTTTTATGTTCCTATATATTTATTGACCTCTTAGGCTATTTATTTGCAGTACTTTCGCTTTGGATATTGTGTATACATAGATTAGAAATTTGCATTTTTTATTTTTTTAAAAGTTAATAATTGGGCCACGAATATTTAACATCCACATAGCGTGGCATATAATTTCTCATAGGTTCTAAAAATTTCTGTAATTTATTTTAGGGTAAACACGACTCGAGAGGCAGCTGTCATTGCCCTATCTATGTACTTTTTTTATGTACATATAAAAAGGGCTTTTTTATGAAATGTCATGTCTAAGTTTCTCATCAACATTTGTGATATATATAGCTCAAGTCGGGCGAGCACTTCTGCTACAGGCCAACCGGCCAAGCCAAACTCAAATAAGCTACTCCGTAACGACGAGAGTATCGTGCATTAAGTTAGTTCTATATTTACTTATGTTATATAAAATTAGCGGATAAGGTGATTTGAAATTGAGTTTATGGGGAGTTTATACATGAAGAGCACCATATCAGCACTGCGAGCTTTGAAGGTCTTCCATCATTAGTCTGTTAATGATGATGAAAATATTAAAATGCTCTTCCTTCAATTATTTTTTTAAAAAAAATAAAAATCTCAGACCTGTATTGTTCATTAAAAAGGATATTTTTAATATTTAATACAATTAATTAGTTATGTGCATGGTATATGGTACTTTTCTAATTGATCACGGTCGAAAAATTCTACTATATTTTTAATTTTTAAAGAATTTATATACCCAAAGTAAGACATGAATGTTATTTATTAAAAAAAAAAAAAGGGTAATACTTAAGCTTGTTTTATTTTAGATACTTAACACTACATATTATGACAATTCGAAAAACATGTTCATCTTCTCTATTCAACCATTCTCTATTCGGATTTTAGTCTGGATTGTCAATTTAAATTGGTGCATGATATTTTTAGTATTTAATACAATTAATTAGTTATGTGCATGGTATATGGTACTTTTCTAATTGATCACGGTCGAAAAATTCTACTATATTTTTAATTTTTAAAGAATTTATATACCCAAAGTAAGACATGAATGTTATTTATTAAAAAAAAAAAAAAAAAAAAGAGTAATACTTAAGCTTGTTTTATTTTAGATACTTAACACTATATATTATGACAATTCGAAAAACATGTTGATCTTCTCTATTCAACCATTCTCTATTCGGATTTTAGTCTGGATTGTTAATTTAAATTGGTGCATCAACGCGGTTGGTCTATTTCAACCATTGTATTTTACTCAAAATTCCACGTGAAGGAAGATTGTTGGATTGACTCTTCCACATTAATCGGATACATGTGCTTTGAGTATGCTCTGCGAGTGTATAACAATATATATATATATATATATGTTTTCTTTTTTTTAATATTATTATTTAAGAAGTGTAAGACACTGTCGGTGATACAGACCCATATTATCATTAGTCAATAATCAATGTATAGGCTGGGTAGAAGTTTGAAAAGGCTGATAATTATGACCATTAATTTCAAAGATTTAGCCTATGGGTAAGACTCGGTCGCATGTAAGAGCCTCTAAGAGTCAATTCAATACTAAAAGCTATTTTTTTACATGTCAAATTTATAATACAATGGTGCATTTTATACAAAATATTATTTTTTTGACATAATTATCATTTTTTGATAGAATATGAAAAAATGTAAAAAAAACCCACCTACCGTAATAATCAAATTAATCACTAATTTGCATAAAGAGATTTCAAAATTAGAACTTCATTTTTGTTTTTGTTTAACAAAGAAAGGAAAAAGAAAAAAAAACTACAAGTCTCAAACAAATATAACTAGTGAATACTTTTGCTAAACTTTCATTTATAAGAAAGAAGACTTTTATTTTACATGCATTCAAGAAAATTCATTGTATCTCATGATAGAAAATCATCGTAAAAAACTAAAAGATAAAAAAAGTTCATATAGTAAGTCCACAATAACTCACTGGAAGGTCATGAAAGAGAATTATAACCGAATTTCAGAATAAATATTCCATCAATACAGAAAATTTTTTTTTTTTCCTGAGTGGGGTGTTTTAATAATTATAACTAAAATAATACAATTACACAAGGAGATAAACTCCAATACATAAATAGAAATTGATACATTTCACTCCTAGCAAAAATATATCAAAACAAACTAAAAGATTCGGAAACTTATTAGCCTAAAAGCCAAATCTAATCAATACATGAGCAGGCAGCTTCTCTCTGATCTTCAAAATATATTACTTCAGCAAGCCTTCTATCAAAAACACTCATATAGAAACATTATCTGAATGTACAGCAGAAAACTATACAATCTGAATTGTCATCAATTGCAGATAGTGAACAAATCTTCCAATCTAAGATTGAGATATGCTAGCATATCCCAAATTATAATCCTAACAGCATATTCATAGTGTAATGTTGAATTTCTACTTGACCAAAATTTTCAAATTGTAACAACAAATAAAGCACCCAACACCTTTGATTTTGTGCTTTTGACAGTTGAATTCACAGTGAACCAATCTGTCAATTGTAACATGGTAGAAAACCTAGGCAATTTCCAAATGAAGTAAATAATTGATCTCATGCCAAATTGTAGCAGCATATGCACATTCACAAAAGAGGTGATCATTGAAATCTATAGTTGCCAAACAATTATGACAGATGGAGGGAAGGATCAAGCCATGCTTCTGCAAATTAACAAAGCTGGGGTTCTTATTATGTAGAATAATTGCAACTCCCACAACAATTCAAGGTCTATAACAGCCCCAAAATACTTTAGTCCATGACAGTAATTGTTTTTTAGCCTACACACATTCCAAACTGCTTTCAAATAAAATCTTCCATGCTTCCATACCATTGTATCAGCACCAGCTTGTAGCTCCACATTTTGAATAACAAAACAGACTTCATCAGGTAAATCAATCTGGACAGCCCAAGCACCATTATGAATGATATCATATACCATAGAATTTCTGTCAATGTGTCTAAACTGTGTAGCCCCACATCAACACATAATTACAGGTCATAGATGTAAAAATCATAACCGTAATTACAAATTCTTTTGAGCTTAAACCCAAGAAATCCCTCTCCATTTTCAGAGTTCAATTAGATATAAAAAGCATACAAGTTTGAAAAAAAACCTAACTTAAATTTCGAGTCAAAACCCTCTAATTTTTACAGATCAACAGAGATGAAAGCTCTCAGCTCCTAAAGCAACAAACCCTAAAACCTTATGCCAATTGGTGATTAACAGAGGAGGGGTTTGTGCTTTGTAATATGTTTGGCTGCTAGAAGACATGGCATGTATAATTACATATTTGAGTTTTTTTCACAAAAATTACAGATCTGAGAAGATATATATATATGTGTGTGTGTGTGTGTGTATGTGTGTGTGTGAGGATGAGAGGGGAAGAGAAAATATAGATCTGAGAATTTACCTGGTCAGTGTTGGTCGCCTTTAAGTGCCGGTCGCCGTTGATAATCTCATTGCAGATGAGAGGGAGAAAGAGACGATAGAGATAGCAACGGAAGGGACATCGATAGAAATTAAGTAAGGAAAGGGATTAAGTGAGATACAGAATTGTAATACCCCTAATTTTAAAAGGATAGTATCGGTATTTATTTGTTTGTTTTAATTGTATTTTTAATTATTTAATTGATTATTTGACTAATTACTTATATGTTTAATTGAATTAGGTATTACTTGATTATTTGATTATATGTCTATATATTATTTGTATTTGTCTATGTGTTAATTGTTTAATTAGATTATGTACTTAAATAGTGTTTTGATTAATTGTAAATTAAATATTTTCTTTTCTTTTATTATTTTATTTTATTTTTCTTTTATGATTATGGTTAGTAGTCATGGGCCAACCAATTGGGTCCCATGAATTACTTGATAGGAGGTTGGATGTGTATGGATTATTACCCATGGATAGTTGTGCATGTATATATATAAATATATATTATATACATATATAAAAGGGAAAGTAATTTATTAATTACTTTTATGGTAACTTGGGTAGTAATATTTAATCTGATGCATATGTTTTATATTTAAATAATAAAAAAATATATATAGATTTGATACGTGTTATGTTTTAAGTTACTTTATAATATTATGATAACTTAAGTATTATTGGATAATCCATTAATAAATAATGAAATGTATATAATTTATTTATTTAATAAAGATTTACATAAATTATATACGTAACATATTTTACTTACCTTTTTAATATATATAAAAGGGAAAGTAATTTATTAATTACTTTTATGGTAACTTGGGTAGTAATATTCAATCTGATGTATATGTTTTATATTTAAATAATAAAAATATACATAAATTTGGTACGTGTTATGTTTTAAGTTACTTTATAATATTATGGTAACTTAAGTATTATTGGATAATCCATTAATAAATAATGGGATTTGTATAATTTATTTATTTAATAAAGATATACATAAATTATATACGTAACATATTTTACTTACTTTTTTAATATTTTAATATTTATTTTTTTAAGTTGACTTGGATTGGGAAAAGGGTTAGAGTTATTTTATTTAGCCTATAAATATATAGCTATAG